AATAATTCAATAGATGAATATATAATCATATGGGCGCACGATCAAATTGATCTAATATCTTCTTCTTCGATATAATAAATATCCGAAAGAAAGCCAAATTATTAATCTTCCTTATTTTGCAAAAATCTAATAAAGATTAGCAAAATCATTTTTCAGAAGATATTGAGATATCGATAAATCGTAATCCTAATCTAATCTATCAATAATTCCCATATTAGAAAGATCTATAAATCGAGAATTAGATTCTCAAATTAATAGAAATACGTAGACCTTTAATATTACCTATTATAGATAGAAGTAAGTAGAAATCAACGGAATAAATAAAAACGAAATAATCAATTATTTCAATCATTTCATTCTATCTCCAATCAAAAAAATAAAAATTCCCAATATTTAATTTATCCAGTAAAATATCAAAAATGGAGAAGCTTAAAAATCTTAAGCGGCGAACCAATTCAATAATCAGAATTTATAAATATTATTTTTATTTCAAAGAATAATATACCTTATCATTATAAAATTCTTCTATAAATCATCATTATATATTCCTCCTATATTATTCGAATTAATTTAGTTTCAGAATAGAATGAAAATCTAAATCTAAATCTCCAAAGAAAAAAAAAGAAATTCAATCGAAAATATCATCTAAAATAATAAATCGAAAATATCATCTAAAATAACAAATAAATTCTATTTAAAAATCTTTGAAAAAAATAATCTAAATCATTCATCGAAGAATTCATATGAAGATCAGATATATAGAATATGAAGAATAAAAAATAGCAATCAAATTTCAATCATAAATAGAAATCAGAAACCTATAGTTTACGCAAAATCAAAATAAAATTCATTCAAATTCCTAATCTTCTCTAATTCTTTTTTACCTTCTATAAAAGAATATCAAAATCTTTGAAATTTCAATATCCAATGCGATCTCGTCTAAAATTATATTTTTCAAACGAAGAAAAAGGAGAAATCTATCATGATTTAGAATAAACGTCATTTATTAGGATATATGCCTACGATATTGAAAATGATAAATCATATTAAGATATAATGAAAGAGAATATGAAAATATCGAAATATTCAAATTTGTATTTATTATAATGAGAGTATAGAGATGAAAGAGAAAATCATATTAGATATTTTCTATGACAGGCGAGATGAACGTGATCTTCGACGGACCGTTTAATTGATTGAGGTCGCATCCACGGCCCTGGCCTCCAGCAACGATCGTTCCAGAGGAAGCGGCTCCTGCACGCCAGGACCACGGGCAGTGAAAATGCAAATCGCACGAGCCCCGCCAGGCAGTGCTCCTGGGGTCCAGCGAGTCACTCGATTGCTGCCGGCCTCCTCAGATTCAGGTGAGAATGAAAATTGATTCTTTGTGAGCTTGTCCTGCACTGCCAAAAATGCAAGCCTAGCGGCAGCCACATAAATGCTCCCATCCGTTTCGTCACGGCAAAGCCCGACAGGGGTCTCCAGCTCTGGCAAGGATCCAACACCACCAACAAGGATTTCACAACGTGCTTGACCTGGTGTCCAGCGACTTACGCGGTTGTTGCCAGACTCGGCCACCAACACACATACACCGTCAGGGGTCTCTTGAAGACATATAGCAGTTGGCGACGCAAGATTCTCCAAAGCATCACCCCAACCCGTGCCACCTGCAACGACTTCGCCAGTCTTGTCCTTCCACCGGGTGACCCTATCGTTGCCAAGTTCTGCCACATATAAGCAGCCGTCAGAATCGATAGCAACATCTACAGGGCGATCCAACTGATCCAGCCCGTCTCCTGGGCCGAGGCCACCAGCCACTATGGAGGTGGCAGATCCATCCAGCGTCCAGCAGGTCACAGCATGTGCCCGAACATCTGCAATTCGGAAAGATGGGCTTTGTGCAACGACACTACGATTCTCACGTGTCTTGAGGATAGTCTTCTTGCGGCCCTCCATTTGTTGTTGGTTTTTTTGGGGGGGAAGTGCATTTTTGGCTGTTGGTCGGGGAGGGTCGTAGTGAGGTGGCGGATGGAGGGGAAGCTTGTTGGGGGGAGCCCGCCCCGTTTGCAAACCATGAAGAATGATGAATTCATCATGCAAAGCCAATACGAATGATAGAGAACAATGGGAGGTCCTGAAATATCATGGAAATCATACAGAATGACAAAAGCGACGAAACATGATGAACAATGCTGGAAATTGTTTAAATTTTTGCAATGTGATGAACAATAATGAAACATGACGGGAGCTGTTGGTAAGTCATGATGATGTTACAAAAAATTATGGATCATCACGAAGAATGATATACAATGACAAAAAACATGAAAGAAATTATGTATAAATAAAAGTGGTGAAACAAAATGCAAGATGATAAAGTATGATGGACACATCATGAAATGATGAAGATGATGAAACAGGACAAAAAGACAGAAATATGACGGAAAATCACTAAAACATGATCAAAGGTGATGAAATCGGGTGGAGGACGTTGGATTGGAATCTTCATGTCACCGATTCAGATATTCCAGTACATGGCATCCAGATTCGTACGGGTCATGTTTACAGTACGTGTCCTTTGTAAGACACAAGGGTCAGTGTTTGAAGATTTCCCTGCCTGCAACGTAGATCTCACCGCGACTACCCATGCAGATTCCACTTGGCTCCTCCACTTGAGGCCCCTGCCCCGCATGCTCGTTGCCCGTAATAGAGTGGCCGCCAGCTGCCAAGGCTCTGTCTTCATGCAAACACCATCGTGTCACGCGTCGATTTCCGGCTTCTGCAATATACATGACTCCATCTGCATTGAAACACAGACCCTTTGGCCCAGCCACTTGGCCATGCCCTGCTCCTCGACCAAAGCCGCCCACCACAATCTCGCAGGAACCTCCCGGACCCCAACGTGTGACACGGTGGTTGTTAACTTCAGCGATGTAGAGTCCTGGAGTCAGCTTGCACCTGTGAAGCGGAAACCTAGATACTGCAGCTTGCTCCACCACCGCTGTGAACTCTACGCTTCCACCTGACTTGCTGAGGCCCTGCTCAAGTAGGGCACTCTCGATTGTCACGCTGCTTTCGGCCAACCTAAGCTTCAATGAGCACGAGCCCAGAGGCACATTGTCCTGCAGTGAAGAATGCAAGCAAGCTGCGCACCGTTAAGCAGCAGTCGGACCTGAGATGCATTACCGGCACCAGGTGTGTGGAGAAGGCTCTCCTTTTGACAGCCTAAAGCTTAAGTAAGGTTTTGCAGCATTATTGCTCCAACTGACCTGCTGAAGCGTAGGAAATCGAACTCCTGCGCTCAAATCTTCACCCTAGTATATAGCTGTTGTGCGTGTTCAAGATCACCTTTGCACCAGGGTTGTCGCTTAGAAGTGGGATGAAGGGGGGTCTGGGGTCTTGGAGTTGAGCAGAAACCATTAGTTTGAGCTAGCAGTCATGGAGCTTCTGCAGTTTTGCCGACAGTTTTGAGGAGGTGGGCGTCGTCATCTTTATCTATCTGTCATCCTAGCTCCCCAACCACGCGACATGTGTGGCGTTTGGCAGTTTGTCTACTTGGAAGACATTTGCAATGCCTTGGAAGCTGCCAGTCTGTCATTGTTGTTCGATACTCGTAACATCGCCGCTGCGAAAAGTGCCAATGGTCACTTCCTCAAAACTGCTCAGTTTCGTAGGATAGCATGTCCTGATGCGTGCAATGTGCCACCAGTCAGAGGGATTGCAATGGGATCAACATCCTCATGACTATCGCAGTTGTTCTAATCTCATTTCTTCTCCGCGCGTCCCTAGTATACTAACAGTCTGCGCAGTCACAGGGACAGAGAAGGATGAGGGAGTACGCAAGGAGGAGGAGCAGGAGCAGCGAGGAGACAGGAGGAGGGAGGAGGAAGGGGCGGGGATGAGGAGTGCGCGTGTGGTGTCGGCGTTTCATACTGCCTTGTGCCACATCTTGCGACACGTATTTTTCGTGGTCGGGCTGCGTGATGCATGACTGCGTTCGGTTCGCAGACCCTATTAAGTATGCTGATTCGTCCAGGGTGCGGAGGGTCAGGTCTGCTCAAACCTGTTGCACACATAACGCAGTGTGGGATGGTACTGGATTGGCTTGAAGTTGCCCTCATTTACAATAAACCTTTCCTTCTCTAAAGCATGCTTCGTTCCAGTGGTGCCAATCACCATAGCAAAACATGCTTTGACCACCAAGCGACAGTTTCCGAATCTCCGCGCAAAGATGCGACAAGCTGATGCAACTCCGCACAATGAGTCTGTGCAGGAAGCGTTCTTGCAAGAAGTACCTCTCCTGAGAGCGCTCGTACGCTCACGTTCATCGGCGCTGGCCCACCCTGTCGCGTGCCCGAGGCCGGCTGCGCAAACTGAATGCTGCGGGCAAACATCTGAGTGAAACCTTGCATTCCAAACACACAGCTTCAACATAGTATTAAGCATCAAATTTGGGTTCAAGACATGCTACAACCTGGCCAAAAGCGATTTCTTGCCGACTGCTCAGCAGCAGGTGCAAGAGAGCAACTGCCGGCACCCTCCTTTCTGACCTCTTCATCACGTTCGGCCATACTGATGTCTTTCTAGCAGGATGCATGTGATGGTCTGAAGGGAATCGGAACAGCCCTGCTCAGATGTCATTGGCTATCATAACACAGCAACCATACTGCGGCGAAATGTGGGATTGGCGGGGATCTACACGTCTTCTAGATCCCACATTCAGCATTTCACCGCGCGAAGTGCAGGATCTACGCACTTGCGTAGCAGACCCTCAGCCACTCGCTTTTGATTCAGTGCATGAGTTTGCTTGAGGCCCGCGCCTCTTGCCATAGAGGGTGATACCAGCCGAATATTGGCACTCTCCAGTAGAAGGCATCCAGGACAGCACTTTGAGACAGCTTCATGTGGCACTCCAACAGAGCGATGTGTACAACGCTTGCGGATTCGGAGAGTGACAGCAGGGAGGCCGTAGGACTGCCAAGTTCATGCTTGCCAGGAAACCATCAGGCGTACGCCTGGCGGGTCACAACCTGATGCAAACAGCAGGACACCTCAAGCTGCATGGGCAACTTCTCAAGCTGCAGAAGCTGCATTGCTTCATGCGCTTGCCAGGAACATGCAACGCAAAGTGTAAGGACCTGTGGAAGCATCGGCTGCGGCTGCTGAGTGGCAATCAGCTGGCGCGTGGAGCAGCCTGCAAAGAACAATGGCAGTACCATTTCGCAATTCATATTGCTTGCAGGTGGTCTCAGCAAATTTTAGATGACTGCTCGAATAAGCTTTTAGAATGTGTCCACGCCAGACACATGCTCAAGGTACTGATGAAAAGATGAATGAGTAGCTTATTCGCTCACGAAATTGGCGAGAGAGACCAGCCAGGCCCATGCCATGCTCGCTTCACTGAGACTGGCGCTCAATGAGCTTTGCATTGGGGCGGCCTTGAGATTTTCAGATCAACAGCGACCGTGTGACATGTCGTAAGGCGCAGGCTGAGGCCACTGGATACGACTGGTAAGACTGTATAGAAACCGGAACTGAGGCAGGAGGTGCTTGATGTGCCTGCCAATGACAAGGTTTGTCTGTGCCACGAGGGATCTCCTGCAGCAACAGCCTGGGGAGTCGCTTGAGACTGCCTGAAAACAAGGATGCGCCAAGATTTCCTCAGCTCTTGTTCATGCCTGAGCCCCTAGAGGCTCTAGCGGAAAGGACACAACCGGCTGCATCGCAGAGGGTCCCAGGACATCACCTCGCTCCTCGCATAAAAAGCGCAAAACAAAACCTATAGACTCGTAAACCCCATAGGCAGGAGGCCTTGAGCTGTCGCTGCCATTCAGCGTGCATCTTGGACTTCGATTCGTTCTGATATCTTTGCACCTAGTGGACGTCGCCGATTTCACGTTCTATACTCCTTCCGCGCTGATGCTGGACTTCAAATTGTTGGAGCTAAATACGAATAGGTAGCCCAAATCATGATGCTGTTGGCGTTGCGAAGCTGCCTTGGGACACTTGATTGAAACTGCCCGCTGGCCTCGGTTTGTAATTTGCTGTGCGAGTCCATGTACTGCCTGCTGGTAGCATAGCGTATCATAGCGTCAGTGTAGCACGCAAAGCGACCACGGAGCGGCTGCCTCTGCATTTCCGCTTGCGTGGCAGCGAACTCCTCATGCATTTTCCTGCGAGGTGGATTCGGTGGTGAGCGAAACGTAACGGTCTGTGCGAGGGTCTGCCTTTGCTGGTATTCCAGTGTTAGTGACCTGGTGAGTTATGCAGGGCCTCTGACGAAATATCAACATCCTCAGCAGCTAAGGGCATTGCGCCGCTTGCTGCTCCAGGGCCGCCCTGACTTCTTCTCAGAGTCTCACTGCCAAAAGCTGCTGGCTTTCCCGGCCTTTGGTCCAAAGCTGCTTTCTTCAGGCCCATCCTCGGGAGTATGCGCTCAAGAATTTGCCCCAGGCTCTGAAGGTGAGGACAACATATGTCAGGAAAGGCACATTGCTTGGTTGGTCTGCTCATCAAGCGCCATTTCCTCACGTTCGCGCTCCCACACACAAGCGCAGTAAGCGCAGTACGCACTAGACGCTCGCGCCTGCATCTTGACTTGCTGATCCATGTGCAGCCTGAGAAGCAGGGCAAGCTGGATGCCTGCTGCCCAGCATTGAGAAACAGAGCGTGCGGCAGCAATGCTTGCTTTTGCTGCTCTGCGGCCTGGGACGAGCATAATGCTAGGCTGAGAAGCCCGGCTAGGCCCTCTTATACTCTTCTCAGGCTGCAACTTCATGCAGTTGCTTCTTTCTTTCGACATTTTGCCTGGCCAAAAGATGGTTCCAAGCCCCAGAACAGCATGCAAGACTCCATGCGTCATCTGGCAATGACAGGCAGGTCCCCACCATGAGGCGTGCTTGGCTTGTCTAACATGCCCCCCAAGCATGCCATTGCCGGCTGCTGCAGTGACTTGTTTCCTTCCTCGAGCTGCTCTTCCAAGCTCCTTGCGTTAAAGGGACCGAGACTGTTGCAAATGTAGGCCACGAATGCCTTCGGCTTGGCTCCTGCAGTAGTGCTTCTTCTGCTCCTCTATGGATGCCGGGTCTGGAAAGCCACGCGTGTAAGGTCCCTTAGCTGCAGTTTCAGCCAGGCTTCGTGTAACACAAGTCCCCAAGCCGCTGGCATTTGTGCCATCGCTGTCAACACTGGCCGGCGATGCCTGGATCAGCAAAGACAGCCGCAAACTCTGGTTATATCTCTTGACGCTTGCAAACTAAATTGCAAGTTCCCCACAGGATCTTGTTGTGAACCTGCAATACATGTAACGTGTAGGCGGCATCCGTTCTCACAAGTCTCTGGCCTGACACTGGAGCAGCGTACACCTTAGCTGCTTCGGTTGGTTGCGTGGTGCTACGGTTCCACTATGGGACTGGGTCGTTGGCAGGTCCGGCTTGCCCAGGCCCAGGCATAGGCAAGCCGGATGTGCTGGCCTCCAGAAGCAGAGGATGAACAACTGGAGAAAAAATTGAGGTGCTGAGCTCGCGGCCAGCATCGCAGGGTGAGGACTTGCAAAGCCTCGTCTTCGCATACCACGAGCGAGAGAGAGAGAGAGAGAGAGAGAGAGAGAGAGAGCGAGAGCGACATGGGGTGGGTTGCTCAGCCAAGCGACTCATGGGAACTGGCGCCCCGTATGCTGGATGTGCCTGCTACATGCTCCGACTCTCCGACACATAGGCTGGGACGAGGGCCAGGACTCAGTGCGGCGCCATAGTGGTCGTGGGCACCACTGGAAGCGTGGGAGGCAGCGCCTGTCACTGGAGCACACAGCTTGGCAAAGCACAGAGATCTGTGAGGGAAAGAAATCTCCTGGCTGGCACGGTAGCCAGCTGGCACAGCCGTGATGGACCTCGCAAAGGGCTTCTGCTTTTAGGGATGGGACAGACGTTTTGGTGTAGAAGCAAATAGAAGTCCGCCGAATGAGCTGTAAGATGCTGCGCATCCGAGAGGCATTTTGACCTTCACGCAGTGCCTGCGTCCGTCGATGAGTATGCAGGCTATACAGCACTGGAACACAGCGGCAATCTTGCCTCGACTGCGAAGAGCTACGACTTTGCAACTTGAGCCATAGCAAGCAATCGGCACGAAAGGGCTACATCCCCACATTTCCCAGTTGGCATTGTTGGTGCACGCAATCTTTTTGGCGAGAAGTCGGATCAGAATGGAGCAGCTCTCACTGGAGGACTTGGCAATCGAACCTGAGGGCTGCACAGGGCGCCACCAGCAGCAGACAGCAAGACATCTCAGCGCTGGGCCGGGGAGAAGCCACCATCCAAGCCGCCATCCTGCCACAAGGTGGAGGTCTTGTGGCATGCAGCGCGAAACACCGCGCTGCCGGCTTGTTCAAGCAGAACACATATGATCTGCACATAATCCAACCCTGGATATGCAATCTCTAGAAAAATGGTTGCACCCTTCAGCTAGGCTTTGCCCTGCCTGCCCCACGCCGTGCTTTAATGCTATGCTATGCTATGCTATGCTATGCTATGCTATGCTATGCTATGCTCATGACAGCAACCGTCTCATTAGTGTTCAGGACCCGTCGCACAAAGCAAACCTACTTCTTGAAACCCGTGCTTCATTCACAGGCTTGTCCGGCCAATGCTCCTTCGCACAATTATGGCCCTAGTTTCGGCAAAGCTTGCAGTATTAGGGTATCCTGTCCTTAGCTCTTCTCCACAACATCCAAAACTGTAGCGAGCCATGCCCAACATCCAGGGCATGCTGCCGGAACAGTTCTATGCCTTGCAAAAGAATTGGCCGCAGTTGCGAAGCCTGTGGAATACGGAGCGCTGCATTCAGCTATGTTTGTATTGAGTCTACGGTGTTGGAACCCATCAGAACGCCACCTCAAAGCCAGTTGTGTGATCCATGCCCTCCAGGACAACCTCCTTGGCCTGCCGTATCAATTAGGTCAGAATGTTTGTTCACAGTGTCTTGAACTATCTAAGTAGTAATAGATGGAAAACTGCAACACAAAAACGGACTTGAACTTCAAGTTGAGGTTTTCCGATGCAATAATGACTGGACTGCCAGAGGCTCAAACACTGCAACTTTTCTGGGATAGTGTGCCTGCAGCTTGCCGCTGTCTCCCACTTCGATCTTAAAGCTGACCTCCTGTCCAGCTTGCGGAAGGCCTAGGGATGCAGCACACCACCCTAAGCACAAACACCCAAACTGTGCAGTCCATGCCCTGACCGCCTGAGCCTCTTTCAGTGAACAACTCAGCTGATGACTTCCAGCATCTTGAAGAGCAATCTTGTGCAGGAAAATATCCTTCCAGCAGATGAGACCCGTCGTGAGGAATCCCATCAATGCTTGTTTGTGGTGGAGCTTGCTCGCTGGAGGCATTGAGGCAAACTGCACCTTCTCTTTAAATTCAACTTTGCGAAGTTCGATGAGGTGTGCTAGCTGGAGTCTTAGCGGCCTGGAATTGCTGAAGCTACCAGCCAAGCCTGCTTTGGCTTGTTCACAGCGCTGATGTGCAAGTTCAAGGAGCTAAAAGTCTTGGATGCCATTTAGCAGCAGGATATAAATTACTCCCGATTCTGCTGCATAGGTTTGCGGGTGCTGAGAATACATCGGCAGCAAGCAAACAATAACAACACAAGCATGAGATAGCCAGGGAGAAGCACAGGCACTGAAATCCAGTACAACAAATAATGTGCGAGTCAAATCCACACATGACACAAGTGACGCAGCTTATCCCTTCAAGCGCCGTCCTTTCCAGAGAAAAGCTGCGCGATCTCCTCGCTGGTGACAAAGCCCCATCCCTTCTCTGCATTGAACAACCTGAAGCAGGAGCGACTCAAAAAATCTTGCGTTTGCCTGCACAGGACCCCTTAAGATGGCTGTCCCACGCATTGTTGACAGCAGCTTTTTGAAGCACCTTGTTGTGGCCAGCCTCCTTATGCAAATGTGCGTCTCAATGCGCCAACTTCTTCAGAGCCTCTGGAGGCTGCTGACCAGCATCCTGCATGACCCTCACTAAACCACGGGCCATGCGAACCTTGTCAGAAGTGCCGAAGTCGCAAGTGAAGAAGCTAACAGCGGTTCCCTGTGCCCCTGCTCTTCCTGTTCGGCCAATGCGATGGACATAGTCCTCAATTGTGTTGGGCATGCTGTAGTTCACCACATACGCTACATCTTTAATATCCAGCCCGCGCTGGGCCACATCTGTAGCAACCAGAATTCGAACCTGGCCCTTCCTGAACTGATACAGTATAGAGTCTCGCTCTCTTTGGTCCTTGTCTCCGTGAATGGCGCTGGCCGCGTATTGCTCATACCTTAACTCCCTGCACAGAGCGTCGGCTGCTCGCTTCGTGTCAGTGAAAACCAGCACGCGTGGCTGAATGCCGTGTGGAGGTGATACCTCCTGCAACCACTCAAAGAAACGCTGCTTCTTGTCCAACTCTGTCACGACTCTGACATCTTGTCGGATGTCTGGGTTGGCCTTTGCCGCTGCAATGCCAATCGTGACCTTTAGCATCTCTTCTTTACAGAAGTCTGTCACGAGGTGCTGGATGTTTGTGGGCCAGGTTGCAGACCACATCAACGTTTGCCGCTCCGGACGCACCTGTGAAACTACCCGCCGAAGCTGTGGCTCGAATCCCATGTCCAACATGCGATCAGCCTCATCCACGACAAGATAAGATACTCGCTCGAGATTCGTCACTCGTGCCTCCAAGAAATCCAGCAAGCGTCCAGGCGTTGCAATGAGTACATCCACACCTTTGCGGAGGATCTGTTCCTGCCCACGTCTTGAGACACCTCCATACACAACAGCATCCCTAACACCCAAGATTTCACCAATGCGGAAGGCTTCCATCTGAATTTGCATGGCCAATTCACGAGTAGGTGCAAGCACCAGGGCGATGGGGCCCTCACCAGATTCGGCGGCAGGTTGTGCCTTGATGTGGAGCATTGCCGGTAGCAGGTAAGCCAGTGTCTTTCCACTGCCTGTTTGCGCTAGGCCCACCATGTCCAGACCAGACATGGCCAATGGCCAACCGATGGATTGAATCGGTGTGGGGGCTGTAAACCCGCTGGTCAGGTACTCGAGCACGGGCTTTGGAAAGCCTGCATGCTGAAACGCCCGGATGGGCTTTGGAAAAGTCTCAGCACCTTCGACACCTTCGATGTGAGCTCTATGTTGCTGTAAGAAAGCTTGAACCTCTTCACTCGTTTGCGCAGCAACTGCCGGGTGCGGATTGTAGAAAGCTTGTCGCGAAATTGATGCCCGTGTGGACCAATCGACCGCCTCCAAGTTCATGCCTGCGTGACTCAAGTCTCGTTCCACCTGCTCTGGACGCTCAGCAGCAAGAGGCAAGCCTTCCATCTCTTCGCGGAGTTCCTCAGGATCTGTGCCCTGGCCTCGGCTGCCCTGTCTCCAAGCCACTTCCACGCTTGTCTCAGGTTGCCAGGCCAGGGGTGGAATCGCAGGCACATCCACGCTCCCAGCACTCGCGCTTTCCGGCGGAGTCGGAAGTGGAGGTGGCGGCGGCAGTTCCGGAGGCGGGTCTGATGGCTCCGGGGGTAGAGCGGGCTGGACAGCGGCTCCCGGCGCTTCTTGCCAGTCTTTCTTTGCACCCGTTGCCACGTGAACGCTGGATGGCTCTGCCCTCACTGCCCAGTGGGCAGGCTGCTCGTCAATAGGAACGAAGGTGTCATTGTCATACAGATCAGGCCGCCTTCCGAAGTTGTCTGTCACCAGTTTGCGCGAGGGAGCGCCCCCCCAGCAAGTAATTCTCAGGCCCGGCCACAGCAATTTGGATGCCCGTCGCGCAATCATAGCGTGCCACGGATAGAAGGTACAAGTAATGTCGAAGAGACTGAAGGTGGAGAACGCACTGTTGCAGGCTTGCAGTCTGGAAGTCTAAGCAGCTGTTGGCTCAAGGCACTGGAATCTAAAACCTAAGAGATCTGCGTGGTTGAGCTGAGCTATTGGATGCTACTGGTGAAAAGCGAATCCATTAGACTGCACAGGTGTTTTTTTTTGGATTGCTGCATGGTGGACTGAAAGGTGCAGCAGCGTCATGCAACTTTTTGCTCACGTGATGTATGAATCCGACATCGTCTGGTTTATTCCATGGAATTCCACTATGTCATTATATGCAGGATTCACGCGCCTCAGTTCGTCAAGAAGCATGCAAAAGAAAGAGCAGCAATGCAGGATGTTCTTCATGTGCAGAACTGATGAATGACCGTACAGCAAAATTTCAGGCTTTGAAATTTCAACGACCGAACAAGCAACAGTCTGCAGGGTCACCAGAGTCCTGGCACCCAAGGAAAAAGCTGTGAGCAAAGCCCAAAGGAATTGCAGTGTCTGCCACTGGCTATGTGCTCTCTTGGACTTCTATAATCTTCTGAACTTCTACAGACAACCATCTATCTGTCCCGTCGTCTAGAGGAGCTGTCGCAACAAACCCAAGTGCCTGGGAGGGGCTGCGGGGTGAAACGGGAGCCATTTTGGCCATGGTCGGAACCAGTTTTCCGGGCCTGTAAGGGGCACCAGCGGGGACCGTAACAGAAACCAGGGCAGAAAGGAACCGAAGCCAGGGCCGAAATCCCGGAGCTCGAACCACGCAAAGTGGGGGACCGAAAATGGGTTCCCCTCCAGACCTACTTTTTCGCAATTGTCTTGTAGCTCATTCTATTCACTCTTTTCCACGTACTATCATGTCTACCTCTACTTCTACTACTACTCCTCCTACTACAACTACTGTAGGCAGACTTTTGGTATTTGACGACTGTCTGTTCTGTGCTTCCTCGTCTGAATATGACAGCCGCCATGCACATTTTCAGTGCTATTCACAGCATTTCGTCAGAACAGAAGCCACTGTTTACTCGTCTTTCCTCTTGCAATTGGGCATCGGGTTTTGTCGTCTATTTATGCATTCTTGTGCTCAAAGCAGCCGAAAGTGCTGGTAATAGCCGTTGGTACGTTTTCTGAGCCTTTGTTTTTCCTTGATTTTGTTACAACTCTGTTTTTACCCGCAAACACATGCACTGGTACTTGCAGGGATTCGTAGATTTTTATAGCTTCAGGTTTTTTGGCCCGAAACGCGCCTTGGGAATTTTACGGAATTTCACAGCCACTGACAGCTTTTTTTGAATAAACGGGGGGGTGTATAATTACGTCCTTAACGACTCTAGACACAGCAAGCTCCGAAGGAAAACCTCACGCACCCTTGCAGACCCCACTGCTTAACATGTACTGGAAAAAGTCTCATTCAGGCTTGAAAGACCAATGAAGATGCCCAATGATATTCATTTTTTACGGGCATTCAAACCTTGAAGGGTAGCGCGGCTTTAAACACAACAAGCTCCGACGGAAAAACCTTACACGCCTTTGCAAACCGCCCTCCCGAACATGTGTTTTGAAAAAACACGCAGAGCCCGAGACACTGCGTGGGACATGGTTTTGTCTTTTGCAATCATGACTTGCCGAAAAAAACACTGAAAGTCCTGATGCGAACCTTGCTCCTTTTTCAAATAAGACACATTCCGAAGTACTGTGTTTTGCACTATTTGCTACATCTGGATTTACGGGACAGCCAGAATAACGGGTTGTCGAATACATAAAGCGCACGTACTGCTACTTCTACTACTACTGCTACTTCTACTACTCACTATGATTATTACTACTACTACTACTACTACTACTACTTCTGCTGCTGCTGCTGCAAAAGCAGAATTTCAAGCATTACTACTAAGGGGCCCCAAACTCAACATGGAGATTGATCAGTGAAAGGGGCGTTTTTGTGCGGAGCCAACATTAATCCCAAGCACCCTTCTACAAGCCTTTGAAACACACAGGGGTTTAGGGTCTGGAATGGAAGACGGAGCTGTACACGGCTTCAGCTTTCGGACCCAGAGCTTCAGGGAATTTACAATGGAGAGATCAGGGTCTGCAGTCCAAGGTTGGCAAGACGTCAACCTCTTGAGTTTTCGGTCTGCCTCGCACTCTCTGCCAAGCATGGTTCCGGTAGCTCAGCCGCTGGGTTGCAGTCTGCGTTTGCCACATGTCTGACCTAGCATCAAAATGAGAATTTGAGGTTGAGAATTTGCAAATTTGCCCTTGGGGCTCTGGTTCCATTTGAAGCTTGATAGGAAGCCGGAAATCCCCCAACAAAAAAACACACACACACACACATCTAGATGGTGGACCGAAAATCGGTCCCCCTTTGGAGGAGTCCGAACAAGAATGTGCTAACCTGTCTGGACACGTGTGGGCTTTCTTAAGCCCGGGCTGGTTCCCGTTACCAATGGGCCGGCGACCCCGGTATGGAAGCGCCCAGTTCCCGTCACACTCCACTGTTACGGACCAAATGGGTTCCTGTTACTTCCAACCCTCGCCTAGGGGGGCAAGCATTCTTTGCCATGGCTCCTGAGAAGCTGGCTTCACTATGCCATCGAACCTTCTGCCTGGCCTTGCAGTTGCCACAAGCTTTTGACAGTATGCAGATTGGGTCTGCTCAGCCATAAATCGGACCAGGGGCTGCCCTTCGAACTCAAAGGTGCCAGCAGGTAGAACCTTGCAGTCTTAGAAGTATGGCAGGCGGAACACACGCGAACACACGCTAAGCCATCTGCGGTCACCTCAGAGGCCTCGCATGGGTTTGCATGAAACGCGTTTCGATGTCAAGGGCCAGAAACGGAGCTCCGTGTTTATCTCCTTGCCTGAGGCCCTTTTTGTGCCATCGTCACCTCTTTGACAGGGCTACAGAATGGGTTCCACATCCTTCCAGGAGGCAAGGGACCTTGAAGCCCAAAAGTGTGCCCGGCTCCACAATGGCCCCACCTTGGCATCATGAATTGGAATGGGAACACACTCCACCATCACTAGCGTCTGCGGCACTGCAAGAACCTCCACTACAGCATGGCAGTGTGCAAGAACTATCCATCTGTGAGCAGTCTATCTCTGCCCCTGCCTTCGAGCGCTGCTTAGGGCTCCAGCCAAGTGCACTCTTCAGAAGGAAGACCTCCTTCCCAAACACGGCTCTCGCAGCCTGCTGCTGAGTGATGTATGTCGAGATAATTCTAAGCCAATGCAGCCGTGCCTCGCAGAAAATGTGTCCCCAGCCCTTCTCGTCATTATAACCTGAGAGAACGATGGTTGTTCAGGCATCCCGTTGCCTAGCGAAGCCACTCCTATCACGACATGAGCAACTCATTCCCCAAACTTCTCAACACGCTAGTGCAGCTAGCTAGGCGACGGGACCATCAGAAGTTAGGGGATTCCCCTCCAATCTCCAGATGTTCAAACCGTAGACGCTGATGCGAGACCCGAAGGGTCGAGTCACAATTATTGAAAAACGTAGAAAGGTCAGATAGAGCAGTGGCCTTTCACAGCTCCAAAGAAGAGTTGGTCATGTGCAGGCAAAGGAATCTGCGCAGGCCTGATAAACAAGAAAGTGGGGAAAGGCCGAGGAAGGGATGAGGACCAGGACAACTAAGACAACCAAACGTAACCTTGCTTTAGCGTTGAGATCGGAGGCAGGACCTTTGCCATGTCCAGGAGTAAAGGCAAGCATGCATGAGACAGCTCCCCAGCAAACTGCCGCACCTCATCGGCATTCCCATGTTCGCTGGTGGTGCAGGCATGGGAGGCAGGGATGGGATCGCCCTTGCGGTAGTCCTTGTAGCAACAATCAATGTGAAGTAAAGACGAAGAAAAATATAACGTCTATGCCTGAAGGCTGACATTCGTGGTGGTGGAGCTGGCCTATAAAGTGCAAGAAGTCCAAGAGTAAAAAAGCTCGCGGCTGAGGCTAAGGCATAAGAGGAGATGTTGAAGACAGCGGGTGTATCTTCTCTGCCTTTAGGTGCGTGAAACTGTTCCAGCCATCGTGCTAGGTGCAGCCTGCCTGCATGCCCTTTGCCCCGGCCACGACCGTAAATGAAACTTGCCTTATGAAAGCAGCTTCACAGCTTCCTGCCCCCCCAATCAGACACAGACAACAGGACTACACAGGTCCCGGGCTGGTTCTTCTCGATGTTTCCTCCAAATCCTGCGACCGAGGACTTCATGAAGAAGACATCCTGACAGGATCATCCCAAGGAGGCCAGGCTCATTCCTTGTTGGTGCAGCGGTGCAGGCAGAGATGGACCTGGCCTTCCCGAATATCCTCACCACTTCTGGGCTCGTGACGAAGCCCCAACCTGGGATGCAAACCACGCGAAAACTTATACTGCAAGGTCGGACGTTGATAAGATTGTTCTCTCAGCAAGCGACCCTTTTCTGCATTGTAGGATTTCACCGTCCCAATCATCTCAGAGCCTGCAGCACGAGTAGCTGGCACAGGCAGCATAGCCGGCTCCAGCTGTCCTGACGGCTGTCTGTACAAGGTGGGCGGGGCCGCTCGCGCTGCATCATATCCACATCCTCAACACCGCTGAAATCACAGCAATCTGGCTGCTGGCCTCTCGGTTGCTCCACCGTTCATACTTCTCATCGGTGCTGCTGGCGTAGCCGCTGCAGCCTTTGTGGGCTGCACTTGCCCTGGGAATCGCAACTTCTTGCAGGCCAAGACCAGCATTGATCCCAGCACCGCCACATCGGCCGCCTTCAGACATGAGGTTTCACTACTGACTTGCGAGCTTCCGTGGCCGTCCACATACTCACAGTTTGCTTGCTTGACAGCTCGAATCCTCCCAAATCCTCCCTGTCCCTGAGCCCGTTCAGATGTCTCGCGAACTGCCCTGTGGACACCAGGGTAGCTTTACGCAAGTTTGTTGCCCAACCCTCCAGGATCTCCTGTAGTATGGACAACGACTCACAGTCTTGCACTGTCCCCGCAGGAGAAATCCTGCATGCATTGTGGATTGGTTCTTGCACGACAGATCAGAGGCGTAAGCCTGTAATTTGCTTCTGCAGAAGCTCTTTCCAAATCAGAGCCTGCGGCCCTCGCCCGTTATCAACCACGCTGAAGAGGACCTGCACATGTCCATGAGCAGATGAAGCCTCGAGGCCCGGGTCATTCTTGAGGAGCCCGTGCCTGGTCGCCTTGCCCACCTCCCTGCAACGCGCTCCTCAACACGAAGATGTCCTGGCAACACAGCTGCTACCCAAAGTTTCCTGCATTTGTATCTAGATGATGTCCTTGCCGTAAATTGCCTGCGTCTCAGGGCAGTCAATAAATCCCCAACCTTGCAAGAAGAAATGAAGCTGCCCAAAGAAAGAACACCAAGGGCATAAATTCAGGCCTTTGGATTCATTGTAGGACCTGACGCGCACAAACGCTCGAACGAAAGCAGTGCCAAAACCCGCAAACTCTCAAATTCTCAAGCAGTCGTGGCTGAGGCAGCTGAGAGATGCACTTCACAACACCCTGGTATTGCGCCATAGTCTCAATCAGTTATTGCGACACTGAAGTTGCCTAAGACCATCTTGTTGACAGTCTAAATTATAGTCAATGTCAGGCCTACTTCGCACCTCTGCTCTTGATCCTGGTGTCGAACTTGCTGTATCAAGGACATTAGCAATTAGCAAGGCTCCAGCTGGCTCTGGGCTTTTCTGCTTAAGAATGACGCCCCTCTTGCAGTGCATTGGCAAGAGGCTCACAGCCACTGAATTCTCAATCTTGTGCATTAACTGAATCTGGAAGTCTCAGCTGGAAAGCATCTTCGCTGTGGCTGACAATAAGCTGTTTGATGCTTTCCGGGCTTTGACCCGCAGCCCCACACGGGCTGCTCTGTGTCTGATGCAACATATTTGCACTGACACTACGTCAAACCGTCTCAAACCGGCAATCCGCTTTGTGGCCATGCTGCAGCCTCGGAAGTTCGCCCCGCACCCAACAGCAGGCAAACAATGTCACCACCTTAGGCTCAATCCAACCTCTGCCAGGAGAGGCACGCCTGGAAAGTGTGCCAAAAGGAAATGCCTGTGTGCCTGTGCTTTGGACATTCCCTGCAGCACCTCATCCTGCACCATGTTGCCCTGGCGAGTCCGGAGCCAAAGCAGTCCAAAACTGTAGATGCTAGGCCGTAAACCTGCTTGCACGCAATTAGCTTACAAAAGCTCCAATGAAACATGGGCCCCGTCACTGCAGCCAATAGTGGCAAAACGCACGTAGCAAAACTCCAAGCAGCAAGCTCTTTGTAGCTCAGAAAAATGCAATGCAGCCTGCACCGCGAGTGGGACCTTGCCAACCATACACCTGGCCCAAACACAGTGTTGCTACACGTCCCTACCCACCAAAGCAAGCAGCTGGGAGCACGCTGACTCACATGTTGAAGGTGCCGCTGCCATTCGCGAGTACCTGTCTGCCGCACGGCTCCAGATGTTGACACTCAAAGTTTAGGGCGAGCCCATGCATGCTGCACATGGCTGCGCACGATCCCGCACTCAGCGCAATAGGCAATGGAGGACCTAGGGCAATCACAAGCGCATCTGCAGAGGCTGCAAAGTTCTAAGTCCAAGATCGCGAGACTGCATATGAGCTCATATGGAGCACTGGGACAGTTGCAGCTTGAAAACTGCTCAGAATCCTATGAAAACCTGTCATCCCGCCTCCTGCTGGCCGGCTAGCTTGGACCTTTGGTAGCAAGTGACCCCCAGAGATGTCTCTTGCATTGGGCGTGCCTGCTGAGCCGTGACTGCCGCCTGCTGGGAAGCCTGCACCTGAATGCTGCCAGCTGTCTCAAGAGAACCCTGCACAAGCTGTCCTCAGCCAAAAACTGAGAGGCGTGCAGCTTGCTGCGCAATGAAAGCGCGCTGCTGAGCTACCTGCCCACGTCAGAGCGCTGAGACTGAAGAGTTTCGTCATCTGTCGCTGAGTTCAAGCACTCTCCCCACTCTCTCCCTGGCCTGTGCAGTTGCTGCTTGCTGTTGTGCCTCGCTTGGCATGTGAGTTGGTCAGCTGGTCGCCTTTCTCATCTAAGGGATCTGCTTGCAACTCCTTCATCTCATCGTTGTACTGAAGTTGAGTCTGGCAGTTCAGACACGATTTCTTGGCGTGTCGGGCCTAAAGCTGCCTCATACTGGCGCTTTTGGAACTGGTACTGCTGGTAAGCCAAATCCTGGCCGTGTTATATGTGGCTTCACTTCACGCCAGCTTTGCAAGTTTCAAGAATGGCCTCTTGGGCTTTCTTCTGGTTGTATTCCAGGAGCAAGGCATTTGCCTTTGGTGCACTCTCATGCAACACATGACATCTTTGTGTGTCCTGTGTTTGGCCTGGTGTTCCAAAGCCGACTTCTGCTGTTGTGCGGCCTGCTGAAGCAACAGCAGCTGCCTTAGCTGTTCTCACGTTTAACTATCCCACATCTGCATTGGTGCCCTGCTCATTGTGCTGCTGGGCCAACTCCATCTCCTTTCAATTGCCCCGCGCGCGAGAAGGCAAGCAGTCTCTGCCAGTAAGCAAAGCAGCCCGCTGCTTTATCTCTTGATCCACCTTTCAAAGGACGAAGTGTACAAGTCTGAAGAATGTACGGCGTGTGTACAGCCAAGCCGGCCTGAAGAGCATACTGTCGTTTGCGCTGATCTCCCATCTCAGGTCATGCTGCGGACCAGACGTTGGCAGAATCCTCGCATCCGTATCTACACCCGTTCAGCTTGGATTCTGGCCGCAAACAAATTGTCAGCTTGCTGCTTCAGCTGTTGTGCCAGCACTTCTGTGCCATGCCTCGGCAAGCCAGTGCAGCTGGCATGCTCCTTTCCTGGTCTACAGCACTAAGTGGCACGACTTAAGCTGATCATCCAGCCCACGCGCATACGCGCTCTTTTGGCGCTCAATGGATGTTGGATCTGGGAGACCTGACAACTCTTATCCATGCTTGCTGAAGCATACCGCTTATATAATATATACCTCGCCTGCAGTGAGGCTTGGCGGCACCTGCGGCTCTGCAGGTACCGGGCCTGGCTCCTGCGCAGTGCCATGCTCTACATGACCGCTTGACCACTTCCGACTCTGCTCAGAGACTGCACGCGTCTTTGCGTGCTTGAAGCAGGCTTTTGCTGTGGTCTTTCTGTGCGCTGGTCAAAATAGGAGCACAAAGGTGCTCAGTTGAGGGAACAGCTCCGTGTTTGTCACTATTCTGGGCCTGCTCACCTGACACTCCCCTGCCAATGCAATCTCAGGCTCGGAGTTTCACTTTGGGACGCTTCTGCTACTGCTGAGAACACATGAACCTCCAATAGTCTTCCAGCCAGATCATCTGAAACAGGAAAACTTTTATGCTGGCAAGCCGCTGACCCCAGAACCATTGCTGGCGGGGGTGGCAGGGGCGTCACCGCCCCCCAGCAAGACATAGCCGGAGTAGAGCTTCCGGAAGGTGGAGCCTTAAACTTAAACAGTCATGGAAATAAGACTGATCTCACGCCAGGCAGCTACAACGATGAAGGCTGAACAATCGGGTTGTCAGCTTGACCAGCCTACTTGATTGCCTGTAAACTATCCACCAGTACAGAGCTGGCTATAGAACCTGCATCTTCTACACAGAGGGACGCCTGCCGTTGGCTTCTTCCTCGGATTTTTCGTGTCCACAACATGAATGCAAGGCTGAAGCTTCCATATCCTTTCTGGTTTGTCGAGCTCAAAGTGAGTGCGGAGTGAGACCACAAAGGCCAGAAGGTAAGGACCGCAAGCCAGTTACCCGTCCCCTGGCCCACCTCGCAGTGAATTTGCTTCTTGCCTGTCTCGTTTGATTGGAGATCCTCCGATTGCCTGACCGAATTCCTTAGTTCCGGCCGAATCGAGATGGGTTCGGAGAGCTTTCCGTTGGGTTAGGTCTCCCCCACCAACCGCCTTCCAGCACAAAATGCAGTTGCAGGATGCCTTCCGCGGCCGTGTCCTGGCGGTCAGCAATCAATACTTATTGGGGAAGCTCTTTGTGGTTGCATATTCTCTCACGCCTCGAACGTCAAAATGTCATGGTTTCAATTCCCTCAGCCGCTTTTGAAGCCAACGCTGTCGAAGTGTGCCCGCTTGTGAGTCAGTGCATCACGGTACCTCTTCTCTTAACAAGAGCTCAGGCGACATAAGTTTAAGGAAAAAGCAAACAAACTAACATACAAAAGAAAGGAAACAATGTGCCAAGCATATGCACCAAACAAATACAGCGTGCCGGTCAGCACGTTCAGCACATCATGTTCAACACGTCTGGGCTTCGAGAACTGAGAGAGCTGTGACAGTATATCAGCACATGATATGCATGCCAAGGCGAGGGCCCTCCAGGCACCCTAAATTCACCTCGGCCTCCGGCCGACAGGCGTATGGAACAGGCTGACCAGGATTCAGCCTTCTCCCCCTATCTCTAAATTACTGCGCTCACCCCTCACCCTCAGCCCCTTGGGTCACTCAAAAAGTCCTACCCAATGACACTCGTTTTCGTTTCCGCTGCTTTTTGCCCCCACCAAATCTTCACATAAATACTTGCAGTAACTTGCGGCCTCCTTTGCCAGCCGGGCTGACGACGTGGATGCGCGCTAGCGCTTACAGCTACCAGGTACCAACTTCTTTCAAAAGTACCCCCAACCATGTCGACTTGACCCACTTAATTAGGAGCACGGATAGCCCGAATCCAGCATCTGGGTCCATAACTGTTTGTGTGGCCGCCGGTACAACACTGTACCTGCACGGGGCTAGCAAAGTCTCTCTTATGCAATAGAGTCAACACATAACCAAGCATGCTGAACAGACGCAACTGAAGTCATGCTGGGGAATCCTCAGCGTAAAGAAACATGCTGACAGGTTCTGATCATGTTGGGGCAAATGAGCTAGGCAAACCTCCTTCAAGAAATCAAAAATCAAGGCGATCGTGGATACACTGACATGATGATGTTGCTATGTGAACGCTGGCATTTGATCTTTTGCGCTCGGTTTTGAGTGAAACTGGTGGCAGTGCTGTGCGCCGTGAAGGCTGATGACAATGCAGTTGAACAAGAAAGTCCGTGGCGGGACAGCCTCTGGGATGTAAGTATGAACTGTCAACCCTGACATCAGCTGACAGTTTTTGGGCACGTTTTCCTACTTGCTCCAAGGCACATGACAAAAAAAGGAAGGCCGCACCCAGAAATGAAGGCCGCAACCAGGGATGTAATGGGCTGAGGCTACCACGTCCGCTTTGGCCACCCTTCCTAGTCTCTACATTTTGTACCCGCGGCGGCATCTAATGTGGTGGGCTTCCATCATGCGTTGACACCGCCGCATTGTACCACTGTCAGCTTTGGCCATGGCAGATTTCCCATGCATGACCATGGCCAGTCCGGTTTCTTGTTGTGAGGGTGGATCAGGCTCCGCTTGAAAGGGAACCCTCTGGCGAAAGGTTCACTTGGACAACGTGTCAGATCTACAGCCACACCTGTATCATTGAGAGAAAAGTGAGCAAGAATAATCCCAAGTCCATGCCAAGTTCTTTGCGCACTTCATCGGCACACCTGGCGTTGATGCCTTTTGAGGCAGAACAGAAGGCCTGAGTTCAACAGACGCCTCATGTAATCGAGGGATTCAATGCGTGAGCCATGTGGGTTCTTCAAGCAAGAGAAATGTCCAGCCAAAGTAAGTTTCTGAGTCACAATGCACCCAGGGATCGGGCAGCGCATATGATGCACCTGTAACCTGACGGCAGCGGCACATCAACCGTTACAAACTCCTCAAGGACCCGACAAACCTGGACCGCAGGCGCGTAAGAGGAAATCCGCGTAGATGCATACCTGACCCAGGATTGAAGAGTACTCAGCTTGTTGGCAATCAGACTGCAGGTGCGGCGCCCATTGGAGGAAACAGCATTGGAGATGACCGACAAAGTGGCGGCAGGAACTTCCTGTCAATCTCGCAGTCGGGCTGGGATCGCTAACATCTGTTGCCATGGAGGCACCATGCCAGGCCATTGCGAAGCATTGGCCACCCCCAAGCAAGGTCCAACCCAAATCCATGCAAACCCCAAGCATGCTTCTACAGGTACTGAGAATCCGACACATGAAGAACCTGCTGGCACCGTCATGGATACGGGGGCACACCTCCGCCAAACAAAATGTAACGACGTAGCAACACATTACGCAACTCACGCAGCTCAGGTGAAGGCTGATTAGGTAAGGCCGTCGGCTCCATGAACATGGCCTGAGATTGGCCATCTTTTCTGAATGCCAAACCCGCGTTGGGGCTCGCACCTGACCGGGCATCATGGATGCTGAAACGCCTAAGCAGCACAAAAGCAGGTCGATGCGTTTCTAAGCATCAGCGGGCCTCAAAAGCTTGCATTTTACCCTAACAGTCTACCGTTGCATAAGAACCGCACGAGTGGGTGGTGACAACTTTGTGCCAAGAACCTGAAGAACAGCATGGATTGCGCGCATAGGCTGGCAAGGCTCGACCATCTTTAAGATGACCCACCCTTGGAGGCATCGGGGATGCAGCACCTGGGTTGTCCAGCTGACTAAGGGATGGAAACTTTGCTTCACCCTCGAAAAGGAGCACTGTGCAACTGAGCAGCCGAGGCGGGCACCCGGCAGGTATGTGGCAACTTCGCCAGCGACCGCCTGATGCAAATTGGTCTGATCTTGAGAGCTGTGAGAAACCATATGCTTTGCTTGGAAAGCTCTTAGGCTCTTGCTGCGCCGGGAAGCGGGCTCACAGTCCCTGGCAAACGTTGTCAATGAATTGTGGCAGCGTTGCAAAGCCGGCGTCACTGAACTTCGGACCTGTGGAACTGTAGGCTGGAAGGGAAGCTTCAGCTGAATAAACCTGATTGCTGATCACATGCACATGTGCTATCATGCTGTCTTCAAGCAGCTGATGGTCCACTCTGTGCGCGCACGCTCAGGCGCTCGCAACAGTTCCCGCAAGACAAGGACTTACCGTACCTTGCAGACAGTGCTTGTTGGCTTTCAATAATGCTCGCTTTTAATAGCATGGCAGTGAACCGTTGCCGTAGGTGAAGCCATCCCCGGCATATGCCTGGCCGAACACATCGTCTGCACACCCAAGCCGCAGAACTGCGACAGACTGCGACAGGAACCTCAGGCATAGGACTCGCCACACCTGCTTACAGATTATAGCCAAATGCGAGGGGAGGAAACAAGACATTCAAATCTAGGCCTGCTGCCAGGTAGCCTGGGCTATGCACCTCAGCCTGACAGTGGTGTTGGCTGCCAACAAAGCGCTTGACAGCATGGGATGCCCTTCAGCCTGGATCACCTCACGTTTTTGACCGCAGTGGCGGCAGAAAATCGCGTCCGGCATATAGACCTTAAAAAGCAAGGATGCGCAACTCTGAAGTGCATGTGCTCAAAATACACTGGGCTCGCGACCCATCCACAGCTGGGACAAACGTCAGGCTGCACTGGACACGCAACACTGCTTGGCTGTGCAGGGGTGCTCGCACCTGAAGGTGGGAGAATCCTGCAAGGGCTCGTGCCAAGACTGTGCAAGCACTTCTTGATACGGTTGTCATGGTCCTCACTGCACCTGTATAGACACCATTCTGAGGCGTTGCACTGCCTCCTGATGACACAGAGCCTCAGCGTACCATGAGGGCACACATGGTCTTAGATTTCTGAGAGCCTGGCCAGGCCGTCTCAGGACTGGCACCGAGCCTGCAGCTCTACCACATGCCCTCGTAAGTTTCTTTGAACCCTTCACCAGCCTTGGCGCAAGACCTGGAAAGGTCAAAAGTAGCCCGTCTAATCATGAATCAACGCAGCCACACGAGCCACACATGCTTCAATCTTGCCTGTGCATGCGGCGTGAGCGACCGCAATGGGGCGCCCTGGCCCAGGACTGCAAAACGCTCGTGCAAAGCCTGCATTGGTAGCAAACTGGTTGACCGGCCAACGTCACAGCCATGTCTGGCCCGGCCTCAAACAGTTTAGCATCCAATATCTGGGCGTTTGTCAAAATTCTGGTCCCTTTCTGGGTACCCTAAATATTAGGTGGAGTATTATAATAGGGATCCAACAAGGGTCCATAATTTTGACAATCACCCACCCATCTATCTGGTGACAATACTGAGGCCAGCGCCTGGCCACAAGAATGCTGCGGGCATTCACCAACACAAAAAAAGGTGCACGCTTGGCTAGAATGTCCGAATTGAATCCCCGGCTCGTGGTTGCAGTGCAAACTGGCGCTAATTGAAGCTTTGCACCTCTGCAGAGACTGTGGTGCTCCACAGAGCCTGCATTTGTGCCTCAAAGTTCTCTCCTGGTTTCTTTGGCTCGAGCCTAGTTGAACCAAATAGCCAATGCAAGCTTTGCTTGCTCCCAGGACGCTCGGCAGCACAAAACTTTAAGATGAAGCTTCTGCGAAATCTGCTGGGGACATGAAATTGAGTCTTGACAATGACAGCGTTGCCTGTCCTTTTCCTTGCAATGGGAGCCGCAGTTGTAGGCTGGTTGCCGAAGCTTTGTTGCCATGGGCCACAGCCCGTCAGAGACTACCATTAACATGAGACTCTTTGTTCATAGTTGTTGTAGGAACCCTTTGAACCCTCTCATCTACCAAGATCCGTTTCGAAAACTTCTTCTAATTCATGCCCATCTATGGCGGCGAGACATCCCTTTCCTCTAGGCTCAAACACCGAGAGCACTTACACTGGCTCAAGGTGAGAGCTGGACAGTAACGCAACGCCTTGAAGCGCCTTTGCATACCACCAGCACATTGAGGGCTGATGCCCAGCTCTTCGTGTTCATGGCCTCGTCTGCAGAAGCCACCTATACGGGCCCAGCCCTTTGCTGCATGAAATTCCAATGTCAAAGCGTTCTTGCAAATACGTCAGCTTTGTGATGCTAGCAACGAAATTTGGCAAAGAAGATGTCGCACGCTTTGACGAATCGTCCTACTTGAGAGGGTCGCCTGACAACGCGTCCTGCCGGCTCAAGTCCATAAACGAAGTATATGTCAGTTCCGAGCTGCTTCAACATGCTTCAACATACGCTGTCAGGTTGACCAGCAATAAGCCGAGAGCTAGAAACTTAGAGGTGAGACTGATGCTGAGCATCGTTAATCAGCGGCACCCGCTTGACGTCGAAACGGCACCGCCTCACAACTTTCCGATCAAATGTTGAACATGATTAGCGGGTGTGACACAAAAACATCTGGCAGTTCACCTGCCACAGATTCATCGTATGCATCCTCCCACTTATTTCAGCATCCCACGGTGGTTCTGAAGCAGGTGAACGAAACGATCCAAATCATTCGTGCTTGAGGGCATGAGCGATTTCTTCACCTGCACGCAGACCACAAGCGAGCAGCTCTAAAAAGATGATCGTCTAAACCAGGACAAAGTAATTTAATCACTAACGCACATCAACTCACGAAGCACTGTGACTTGTGCCATTGGAAAAACACATGCATGTGTTTGCTGCACCTCGTTAGCCATCATCTTCGTCATCTGCCTCCTTGCAGTCTGAGAAGTGAAAGGGAAATCAAGAGGCTGAGGGGCTGAGAGGTTGGGAAGCAGGCGCAGCTGAGTCTGAGACCATAAGCTGCGCAGCTTTTCTGAAAACGCTGCCCTCGGTGCTGCCATGGACATCCTGCGGCAGAGCTCTTTGGGAGAGGGGCCGATGACAATCCCCAAATGCAAAGAAAGCTTCATGCGGTAGCTCTTTTCAGAGGGCTCCAACGCAATCGTCTGCTCCAAACCCTCAGCTTGGCCCACCAACGACTCAGCTGCCGGGAGCGCTCAAAAGCCACGATGGAGGCTGTCGCAGACAAGTTCAGTGTGTCTGGGGGTCTGGGCTTGGATTGGCGCGGCTGAAGGGAAAGTGGGAATTGCTGCATGGGCACGGTGGCTAAGATGTCCAGGCTCTGCTCAACTCCTTGCAAAAAAGGCTGGCCATCTTCGCAGTCCGATCCCAGCACAAGTCCCAAACGTTCTCGCACAAGGTCGACTTTCCACAGGACTGTCGTTGGAAGCTGCGTCGCATCCTCAGCAGCTAGCCCCACTAGAGTGACTCCCGCACCCTTCAGCTCGCACAATGCCTCTGCCGGGCTGACATACGGCGGAACCGGCACAACTAAGCTCAGCCAATGCCTTCTTTGTTCCACCATCGAAAAGCGGAAAGCTTTGTCCAGCAAAGCACGCGAAGGCCCACCCAGGACGCAAACAGCAGAGATGCCCAGCAGCGTGCCCGACCTTATGATGGCTCCGAGATTGCCAGCGGTGGTGCCACAAAGGATGAGGATGGAGTCCACCTTTCCAATCTTTGTTCGATGCAGCAAATCGTGCCAAGACAGGGTGCAGCGCTGATGGAGCGCCTGGCGCTTAGACTTCTCTTCCCCAGCCTTCGCATATCTTCGAGTGTGTGAGACGCGAGCAACGCGGGCATGCCACCAGGGTCGGGCAACGAAAGGCTGGAGGTGAGAAAGCGTGACATAGGCCAGGACCACAGACCATGGTGGGAGCGATCGAGCAAGCCACATGGGTCAGCTACAGATGATGAATTTTCATGGCACCGAAAGCCGCAGGCTGGACTTGAGGCTGAAGTCCTGTAAAAACACAAACTTCGGATCCACCTTACAGAAGCTCCATCAGAAAAAGAACCAAGGGAGCCTCGGGTGCCAACGCCCTTATCAACTCGACGTTGTGGTGAATCCTGGCACTGGAAGCCAATATGCTCAATTGCCCACTGCACTGTCCAGGCTCCGCTGCCTCGATAGTCGCCCTTCTCTGGGGCCCATGACACATGCCTTTGCTACATGGGACCCGGACGAAAAACACCTTGTCTGAACCTTTCCTGCCTTGAGGTTGACCACAACTTCTGCGAACTCACCGCCGGCAATTCTGACAAGAAGGCCTTGGTTGCAATTGCCATCATGCACTCCCCTGGACTCCCTGGACATCTCAGCTTAGCCAAGTACCATGGTAGAAGACGCCGAGATCTTTCAGCTCTGCCTCTATCCTGGCAGAACTATCTGAAAGCTCCCAGCATCAAGCTCGGTAGAGTGGTCAATCTAGCCAGACCGGCCACAGCGCCGCAGGATGCTCGGGGCTGCCTTCATCCTTAACCTGCAGCAGGCAAAGCAGGCAAAGCATGCTTTGGAGCTTGGAGTGTGTCAGAAGTCAGAAGGCACGCTGATCAGAGCGATTCGTCAACTCATTTCCTGCGCTTACACTTGCACAAACGCATGTGCTATTTGGCTCACGTGGCGCGCTTCAGGCACGTCAACGAGCCCTTCCCCCGACCACTGGAACCACTTCAATCTGCCACTTGGACCCCTTGACGCAACCCGAAACCCAAATCATACACCATCTGAACCCTAAGCGAACAGCCTATACTCAATTGGCCAGTCCCATGTCCAGTCAAGTGGTTGAATGATTGAAGTGAACTGACGCGAGCCAGGGATAGTTTTTGTTTCGGACCCTGCTTCTAAAAACCATACTTCAAACTGGCCTTTCCCCTGAGCTCGGGGCCAAAATGTCAACGCCCTCTGGTAAAGGTCCAACAACCTGCAGATTCAGGCTTCAGAACAGCATTCCAAAACTCAACGACATCAGCCTTAAAGTCCCTCTTCTGAGAAATTCCTGAAGTTTCTAAGGGCAACGCCTCAACAAGCTGGCCATTGGAGGGAAGCTCTACAGACGACCTGTAAGCGTACCTTGCATGTGAAGGCACGAGGGATGCGCATGCCCATTCAAGAGCCGCACCCTTGTAGAAGGACGCCCATTTCGAGTGTCCTGACACCCGGCCTTGGAACATCCAGGCGCGCGGCTCCGATCACTTGCTCTTAAAACTAGTGCCTGTCGATGTCGTCGTCATCTTCTTCACCGATTGGTGGGGGCTCGGGGGCCTGCCAGATTAGCGACAGGTTTGTTGCTATGGCAGAGATGCTAAAAGAACTAGGCAACGCACCTGTGGTATGGTAGAGGCCAACGGCGCCGCATTCTGCAAGGATGTCTCAGTGTAAGTAAATCATTTAACAAACTGACACATTCCGCTGCCTGGTCAGCCCAACTCAGCCGGCGGGCTGGACAGGGGATCAAAAGTCACTTGGTAGAGCAACCCTGCATTTGCCAACAGACCATGCCTGTCAGTGGTTGGCTCTCCATTGTGACCATTTGAGCCTGCGAAAGGTACGAAACACGCTCACCTCGTTAAACTTTCTCCTCTGACTCCTCAGACCTGCCTGAACTACCTAATGCCAGGGGTGGCCATCGCATTTGAGCCCCAGTGGCGGCAGGAGGCGTGATGATCCTGGGAACTGCATCTGGCAACCAGTGAAGATTGTTCTATTGTATCTTCTCGATTTTTGTCATGGCATGTTAACAGCTCTCTCGAGTCGGTCACCTGCTCACAGCCTTGGTGAAAGGGTGATGAAAAAGAAAACACCAAAGTTTCCAGGCAGCTAGGGCTGTAGCCTTTGCTTGCATTGCTTTGGCCGCCTGCTTGAATCGAGGCAGCTGCAATTGGGCCTCACCGATGCGATCACATCTCGATCACATACTACATCCAAGTTCTGTAGGTGCCCTCACGGCTCTTCCACCAAATACTTGCATTCTGAGTTGACAGCATTACCTGACTTAGGCGCGCATGACTTAGGCACGTGGCCATGACGAAGGCAGAAGGATTCCGTGCTTCATGAACTGGCAGCTCTGCCGCCACTGCCTGGAAGCAGGAAGGAGTCACAATTGCTGGAATCAGTGCTGCAAGGGCTGCAGAGGCCTGAAGCTGCAAAGGGAGCTGGCGCAACTGCTGCGCACACTGTGCGTCGAGGCCGAAGCGCAAAATTAGCGCCTCAACCGCGGGGTGCACCTGCAGCTGCAGCTGAGGGCATAAGCAACCAGGGAACCTCTTGCGCTCCCCGCAGAGCACCTGCTGCCCGTTTGGTAACGTCATGGTGATCATTGGCAGGGATGGCAGCGTATGCGCTGTCGACATCATGGCATCTCCTAAGCTGTGGCAGTCAGGGCATGCGGCCAACATCGGCTTTGGGGCTTGCGAGGTCACTGCGAACGCGGGAAATCAGCACGGCAGACCTGCGGATGAGCAGAAACCAGAGATAGCAACAAATGGCTACCCTGAACTAATTCTTTTCTGGGGAACGAGCGGATCCCGCGCGCCCATTAGTGAGCCTCGCTCAAGCACTGCTCGCTGCAGGTTCCGCCTTGGCTGCAATCTCAATGGAAAACCTTGTTGCAGGCTTTTGCGGAAACCTCGTTGCTTGCGCACGACAGCACACACTTACTCTTTGCGCTTCATCTCCTTCCACGACCAAGCGACGGCAAGGACCGGAGCTTCGTGGCCGCATGCGATTCTACCTTGCAGCAGAGGCAGGCAGCAAGGGAAAGACCGAGACGAGCGATGCACTCAGGAAATTCCTTGTTTGCCGTGGGGCAGTGTTGAGTGATAGGAAATGCTCAACCTCTGGGTTCGGCTCGACAACACGGGCCTGCAAAACATGTGAGGTAGCCAAACACGGAAAGTCTACCTCAATCACGCCTGGTACGCAGCAGCCAGCAAGGCTGCGGCACTTGCGGGTAAGGCAGATGCTGGCCTCAGACTGGCTGGTTGCATCTGTGCGTCCAGAATTGAAGTCGAAGCACCCCGACGCTGCCGGATGGCCAACAGGGACGGACCTGAACTCATCAGTTGCTGGCTCCCGTCCTCTGCCCACCACTGCGGTCCAAGACGCGTGGCTTTTGGCTGCGAAGGTGCTGCTTGCTTATCAAACGCATGGCTCCTGTCCCATAAATGGGGCATGGTGCATGGAGCTGGGCCTAGCGCAAAGGAAGCGATGCCTCTCCAATTGCCTTCTGGGCTTGTCGCGTTCCTGGAGCGCAGCAACCAGGAATGTGCAGCGTTGCAGGTTACTCCTTACTTTGCTAAACATCCAGAGGCAAGAATCCGACAAGCATCCTCTAAGACTCAACTCCTTTTCACGTGAGGCTCAAACTTGCGAAGCGTCTCGGGATTTATCCCTGCCCTTAGCTCGATCTCGGCCTTTCTTCTCCTTGGTTGCTGCAGGAAGTTCGGAGAGAACCCCCCACCACCACGACCACCACCACGACCCAACCCATACCAAGTGGGGTTCAACGGGTTTAGGCTCTGCTGTTAAGGAACTTTAAGTAAGTTGATCCCACCCACAAAAAAGGGTACCAATTTGTTTACTGTGCATTCAGTGACCAAACGATCCATTCCCAAATAACGACTTTGGCTTTCCTGAAACCTGAAACCCCAAATCCTAAGCCTTTGGTTGTGGCAGGGGTCGGACGAATGAGTTCTTCGGAGGAAACCTGCGAGTCAAACGACAGGCGGTAGTGAGTCGGACAAAAAAACAAAAGTAGGACGAAGGGAAGGGTTTGCCGAAAGCAAAGCATGAGGCAGGCGATGAAATGAGGCTGTTTTTAGTCCTTTGTCTGTTCTGCAGGCAAGCTGCTTTGTCTCTGTCCCTCTCGCGGCTCCTGCAGGAAACGCCAAGATTTTGCAACTTCTGCCGCGTGCGCACGCATGCACTTTAATCTGGCTCTCGGAAATGTGACTCCTTGCTTCTCGCTCGCTGTCCCGTATACGTTCTCGAGCTTTCTGTCCTGGTCACACGGCTTTTGCGGCTGCTCATACACAGCAGCCTAGTATCAGGCACTAGCCCCGTGCAGACGAGAGTCTTTCCCTAGCTCGTTGCCATTCCCAATCGCGATCACTGCCGGTTTTCGGCAGTTCCCGCAGCCTTGCATGCAGTGATGCACGTAAGCCCAAGCAACGACAAGCACTGGAATAAGCAGCCTCTCTCCTCTTCGATCCTTCGCCTTTGAAAGCCAAGAAGCCAAGCAAAGCTTCAGGCTTCGCAAATCAGACTCCGAGAGTAAGCAAGTGAACTTGCCGTCCAAGTGCCTGCTGCTTTTCTCGCTGGCTTTCCTCTTCATGCGCCAGGTCTCTTTGAGCCTTCTGGTCGTCCTTTTTCTCTTGGCCCACCTTCGCATCCTTAGCATCCTTCCGGCTTTCTTTTTTATCTTTCTGCTTCTTTGCCTTGACTCCGTGCTTCTGCTTCAAACCCTGCAGCATTCACACCGCGAAAAGGATCACGGCAAACAAGCACAGCCTGTCTGGATCGCGATCTGGATCCTGAAGGTAGGCTGTCCGCCTGCCACGTTAGCAGTTCCGGCAACATTGCTTCCGGCAGCCAGGAACTCTTTCGCTGGTGTTACCATCGATGGCTCACTACACCTCCTCACAACACAGACTTGAAAACCAATGGCTCGGGCCGGGACAGTGCCTGGTCGAGCTTGGCTTCTTTTTTGCTGGAGTCTGGTTGTTCAGCATGACTTTCCTGCTGCAGCATCATCTCCACATGCGATGTGAATACAGTCAGTCATGTCAGTCTCTGTTACCGGAGGTCAAAGTCCTGGCCGTTAGGTTTGCCGCTTTTGGAGTCTCTTCTCCTGCCATGAACAGCATGCCACACAGAGCACACATCAGCAACGTGCAAGACTCATCTTGGATTTTTGTTCAGACACAGGTTTCCAGAGGAGCCAAAAACTGCTCACGCATGTAATCCGGAAACGAACCTCTGGCAGCCGAAAAGAGCCAAGGCAATAGCCACCAATTGTCAGGCCCTTCAGGTACCTCCTTTCACCTGAGGAAGATCAGCTCTTCAGCCAATCAACAACTGAAACATGAACATATGTGGTAGGGAATATGTGGTAGGGAAAACGGGAATGATTTTTGTCCCGCGGCTGCTTTTGCTACCGCAGCGGCACTGACTTGGGCTTCGGATGTACAGTAGTTGTGGTGATGGTGCTGGGCTTTGGGTGTGGTGCTGCTGGGGCCGTTGTTGGTGCAAGCGGCCGGCAGTGAAGGCCTGGAGTTTAACAAGCAGTCATGACAGTCATGGCGATAGCCATGCTGCTTGGTGGTGGTTTTGGCCACATACAGGTTGTGTCGTGATGGTATGTGGGGAGATAAGCCCTTAATGGGTTTACTACTGCTTCAATGTGTTGCACAAACGCAGACAGCTACACCAAAATGCATGCGACTTCCACTCCGCTCACGCCAACCACAACATTACAAACACCTACACAACCACCGTCAGCGTCAGTTCCGCGGCCGCTGCCACCACCACCTCAGAGTTTACCATTGCCAACGCAGGCGCAACCACAACCAACGACCATAAGGGATGATTGCCAGAACAGTGTTAGCAACAGCAGAGCATCAGTAGCAAAACCTAAGACGAGTACCAAACACAGCTCACAGCAGCCACGTTGTGCACAAACCTCGTGTGCACATGTCCCTTCTTTTAGTATGAAACAGAACACGTTCCTACTTGTCGTTTCGTTGTTACGCTTTCTGCGATGGCTTCAGTTACGAATTTAACGCGTATTGGCCAAAACCCCAGACTGAAGCCGCTTGTAAATTCTGACTTCCGCGTTCAAGGGGTGCATTTCCAAGAAGACTTCGCCGGTGGCCCGTAAGATGTCCCGATTTGGCTGGTTGCTTCAACTCATTGGCACTGCCAAACGTTGAAAGTGACTCACCCCGCCTCAAAGCACACAAGAATAAGCGCTGTCAAAGCAACACTTTCAGCCACGCCCTGGACTTGCCTAATTACCCAGGGTGTAGACTCGCTGGTTGAGCTCATTCGTGGCTGCGGATTCGTAACCGGATTCATGTTGCTGTTTCATAGCGTTTTATGAAGGTTAATTCAACAGCAACAAAAGCCATCCCCATCCAACCACCATTTTTGCCATCGCCGTGCGCGCTGCTCTGCGCGCATTGGCGCCTGCCCTGTGCTTTCTAAGTCTCTATGAATACTGGGCGGCTGTTTCTGGTATGGAACCAGCAGTGTTGAGGGAACCCACCCCCCTTCCACAAACCTGTTTGTGCTCCCTAGACCATTTTCGGTAGGCGCGTCGCGGCAACCCATGCCTGTAGGCCTCCTAAAAAGAACTTTGGCTGGCCCTTTTAGTGGCTACACTCTTTTTTAGACCCCAAATGGGTGCCCAGCGTGCCTACATGGGCCAAACTGTCTCACAGCTCATTGAGAACTAAATACCTTCAGTTGGCATTTGAATGAATGAATGAATGAATGAATGAATGAATAGCGCTCTTGTAAGACTACGCAAAAAGCAATTTCGAGCCTTTGAAGCATGAAGGCGACGACAGTGGCGGGATGGTTTCTTGCAGCAAGATTTGTCCGTGCAGATGTGAATTGAAGAGAATGAAGGGTCTGATTGGGCGCGAGGGTTTTAAGCTTAACGCTTAAAGTTTGGCCCGCGTGAAAAAAATAAAACGGTCCTGTGAAGACTAAGCTACCAGATGAGCTCAGGGAGCAAAGACGAGGCCACACACATGCGGAGTTTAGACGATCCTTTGTGCTCTTTTTCTGCAGATTGTTGGGATGCAGCACTGACACGAACAAAGTGCTTGGACCCAACTGGCCAAGGATGTTTACATGTCGAGGATGTATGCTGAGCCTGTCTCAATGCAGCCTGCTGTTGCAGAAGGTGATCAAAAACTGTGCAAGGTGTCAGACGCAGGTCACATATGAAACATGCCGGAGGTTCTGACAATCGGCAGCATCACTCTCAAGCTCACGTTCAATACCTGCAGGTGATCTACGCGCTTTTTGCAAAATGTGTAACGAGCGGTCTAGCAAAAGAGCTCTGACCTGGCTTAGGAAATGGATTTGCCTCCTGCAGGTGCATCGCGGAACAATCTAGCTTTGATGCAGTGTTGCAGCCATCCATCACAAAAAGTGACCGCACCATCTTCAGTATCTTCCACCGCAGTTCGCGCCCGTCAGTGTGGCGATGAACTACTAGCTGGTCTTCTTCAAATACCTGGAGAATCAACATTGGACGATACTGTTGCACAAAAGGTAGACCGGGAGAGATGCCTCAATAAGCCCACCAACACCTTCAGCAGGATCATAGAAACAGGAGCCTGGCGCCTGCAGGACGTTTCTTCCATTCCAAGGTGCAACTGTGTGCGATGATCCCGTGATGGATTTGTTGTGAGCCTGTGGTGTCCGGGCCCTTGACAAGACCTGTCCAAGGAGGTCAAAACAAGAAGGACCCGAGCGGAGCACTGAGAGCTGAGAGCTAGAGTAGAGTGTAGAGTCTGAGCTGTGCCACTGTGAGGGCTCCAGACTCCTCCACCTGCCCCAACACTGAACGACAGTGGTTGAGGCGCTCAAGTGTCTAGGCGCCTTGCCAGCAACTGCATCACAAACGGCCTGCTTCTCAATCAGTGCTGTCCTGCCTTTCAGAGCAAAACTTCTTCGGGTCTTTTCACAGTCAGAGTCTAGGGATGCGACCACACAGGGATGCAAATGCTTCATTGGAAATGCAGAAGCGCGATCCTGCGCAGGACCTGCTGGCTGAGATTGCTGGAAACGCTCGCAGCACTGGCAGCAGGCACGCCTGGGAGCTATGACCAGGGCGAAGAGTCCTGCATCCACATGCAACTCCCAACTCATGCGTGATTTTGGATCTCTCCTGCTGTAAAAACCCAATAACCAGCAAGGTCTGATGCGCTTGTAGCCAGCAGCTCCAGCACAACCTTACAAATTCCATCAAATTCCCATAGCGCTGGAATGCAGCCACAAGGTAGATTCGTATGGCCCCCCGCAGTAGAGTTCTGTGCACCTGAATTCGCCAGATTGCACTGCTAGCCGCTAGCCTTCAATTACAGCCTGCAGCCAGCATCTGGATGCAGGACACGGAAAATGTCGTCACGACTTCTGCCTGTCACTATTTGCAGCCTGGGCACAAACAGACTCCTCGGCATTGGGAAAGGAGAGGACAGTGCTTCAAGATGTACAGTAATACAAACCTACCTTCCAAGCTCCCCACTCCGGATGTAGAAACTTTGGCCCAGTGACACTTCAAGGTTTGAGGATCCTGCAGGACTGCAGCGAAGAAACATGGCCATCACAGCGAGAAATAGTTGCCGCACCTCCACCTGGAGCTGAGGGGCCTTGAACAGGCAAGGTGCTTGCAGATGCAAAAAACTGCTTGTGTGTGTTCGTCAGATGCCTGAAGTCGTACCATCGCCATCAGTGGCTCCTTTCAGCAAATGACATATTTCTCATGTGTAAAGAACTTAGCTTCAGTCTGAGCAGAGCTTTGTGCCAGTGGCAGGACAGCTCGCAAGTGATTGCTGCTCCGACTGCTCCTGCCCTGTAGATCTCTTCCCAGCGCAGCTGGCCTGACAAGATAGGAAGCATGTCAAACAAGAAGCATGTGATCCAAATCAACGTTTTGTGAGGGCATCACCTCACCCTTTTCAGCACCCAGACATGAGGACACCTGTCGCTGCCACAAATGGCATGCAAATTTTGTTCGGGTATTTGAGCAGCTGTGCCTCTGCGAATACGTGGTGCCCCTCATCTGTTCTCGCCTGGTTGGACTTAATCCTGATTGATTAGGCTTCACTGGCTTCTTCGCGCTATTCACAAGCCTCAAGTCGGATGTCCGGAAAGTCCTGAAGCACAGAGGATGTAGAATCCGTTGCATCACCGCAGCCAGCTAAGATGAGGCCCTTTTCCTCCTTTTGCGTCATCAGATCCGCGAGCTTGGGAGCGCCTTCAACGCGCGCCCAGGCTCCATCTCCAAGAACTCAGCGAATGCAAGCAAGGCTCGCAAGCGATTTTTCAAAAAAAAAAAAAAAAGACAAAACGCATCGCCTTCAGGTGGACTTTCTACCAAGTCGGGTGGCCCAACTCCGTATCCTGCCTCACAGAGCTTGCGCTGCATCTGTCCACTCTGCTGCGAAAGCAACTGAGCCTCGACAAGCTTGCGACCAGCTTTCGCAAGATCCTGGTGCTTGGCAGCACACTCAGCCAGTCAGACTTTCCAGCAGCAAGCCGAGACAGTCCAACCTTTGAGCGTACTAGAAGGTGGCTCCGATTCCAAGCCTGAAAGAGCACAAACATTCTGCCCCAGGATCATGCAAGACCTCCAGCGGGCGTGCCGTGCCATGACAGCCCATCTGCAGTGTTGCAACTCTGCGCTTCGCCAAAATGGATCCTTGGCTGAACAAGACTCAGCTTCACCTGTTTCGATTTGTAAGTAAGAGTAAGCACCTGTTTGCAATTCGGGGCGCATTGCTAATCGCTGACAAAGAGGCGAATCGGCAGCCTCCAGTCCTCGATGGGCAGATAATTTGAAGGCAACCTGCCAAGATCGCACAGCATGCAAAGCATGCAAGCCCAATGCCAGGATACACGATGCCTCAAGACCGACCAATCGTCAGCGCCTCTACATTCCACAAGCGAAAGCTCAAAAGCAATGGTGCATATCCATGAATGCCGCGCTGCCTGCAGCTTCAGCTGTGCGAGCGATGCAAGCAGGCTCAAGAAGCACCTTGACACCTGACGGCGAATCAGACTGAAAGAAAGCCTGGTATGGTGCAAGCGTGTTGGCAGTAGTCAACAAACGTGACCCTTCTCTTTTACATCCTTGAAATCGGAGCAGTCAGGAGACGGCAGTTGCCCCAGGTCGAACCCAAAGTGAAGCTAATGCCTCACTGTGGTCGTGTTCCAATGGGAAGAGAACGCCAAAACACAGGAACCCATCCGGGTACCGTCCACTGAGCTTCAGTCTGCGTCACAAATGGTTGCCGCCGCATGCCGCCGCTACAGCTGCATTAAAATAGGTAAACCCGCACCCGTTGATGCAACTATCAAATTGTGCTGCTTGCGGCTAGCGGGCAACTGTCCTCCAACGGCCAAAACTGTCTCATTTCACATTAAGCGCCTAGGTCTAGGTGAGCAACAAAACGCTCACAACTCAAGCACATCCACTCAGCGCGGCAAGCACAGTGGCAGCATGGACGAGAGCACTCCAGCACCTCGACAGCAAGGAAAGAACAGCAGCCAGCTTGGCATTACTCCTGCAATCAAGCTTCTCTTGAGGTCGAATGAGTGGTCACCATCCGGCATAGTGTCTGGCCTCAAGCTTTTTGCGTATGACAGCTGGAACACTTCTCTCCAGAACTTGAGGCCCTGTCGTGAAGTGAACGTCCTTTGCCTTGCGCAGCGTCTGTGCCAACAACTGGCGGTAAGTGCCCGGTGTAGACCTGAGCTCTCCACGTCAACGTCCAGGCAAAACAAGCAGTTTGGCAGACTGGCTACCAGGGCCCCACCTGTTGCGATTTCCCCACACAGTGAACACTTTCATCTTGCCGGTAGTTGTCTGGCGCAATGCCTGTCAAGGAGATGCCGCTTCGCGGCGTATGTGTGTGATCTGACCTGCCACCTGCATCTTTTCAGCCAGGAACGATGGGAAAAGCACAATCGGACCTCAGGTTTTTGGCTGGCTGGCATATATCCAAGGCTGTGAGCTTCTTTTCAAAGGCTTCAGCTGAAGAGGACTGTTGCAGACACCTCAGAAGCTGCACCCTGAAGTAAATGCTGCGTTGGTGCATGTGTCGCACCTGTGGGAAGACGTTCAAGAGGGAGGCATACAGTGCAATGCCAGCCCCTTTGCCGAAGCCAAGAATCACGACCTCTCGAGAGAAGCGATGGCTAACCGTCAAGCAGCCTGCTGCAAAAAGTATCAACCACATCTGCCTTGTCCCAGCCCAAGCCAAACTCGCCCAATTTGGTCTCGATTGACTCTGAGAGGCATCGACCGAGAAGCTCCACATCATGCAGCATATCCAGATCCTCTCACGAAGCTATGGAATGCAAGAAGATCGCATCAGGCAATATAACTCTGAACAACTGCTGTCCACGCCTGGTTCTCGAAAGCCTGACGGTCGCGCAGAAAAAAAGACCCATCCACAACCTCCGGCTGCTTCAGCGAGAACTCAGCGAAGGCCTGGCCCGGGCTGTCTTGAAGCAGAACTCCCTTACTCACTACCCTTTGGATCCTCTGCGGCCGGATGCTGGGCCCAGGCAAGAGATACAAAGGCTGCACTGCCAACTTGCGAGGCGACGTCCTGTTCTAGCAACTCATGGAGGTCACAAAACTCATGGCCGACGGCAAGACTGGGCAGTCCCTGACAGCAGCTGCTTCGTTCTGGGAGTCATCCCCGAGCCAGACAACCAAAGCATTGGGGCTGCTCAGATTTCCACCTGGAATGCAAGAACAAATCAAACATCAGCCGTGGCTTGCACATCAGCAGGCCCACACATCTCTTGGGGCGCTGGCCCTCATGCGCTGTTGGCAGAGGACCCTGCTTCAGGGTGGTTTTCATGGAAACGAAACTTGCTGGGAAAATCGCCTCGGGGCTCATAGCCGCGACACTCTGATCCGTGAAGAGCAAGTTCAGCCAGTCGGCTTTCAGCCTGTCACGCTCTTCCTCCTCCTTCTTCTTTGCAGCCTCCTCTTCCTGTGAAACCGCTGCATGTAAGTGTAACATGTCTGGAAAGGCATTCTCCAGCCTTCTGCTTGGCTTGCTTCTCCTTTTCAGCCCTCTGCTCTTGGGCAGACAGTGCCAACTCTTCCTGTAGCGTTGGGAAAACCAGCACCACCTGTGCAGGCCAGGAACCGAATCACCATGTGAGTGTACGCTGTAGACTCAAAACACCAAAACATCCACTGATGTGAGCCTGCGTGTTGTCACCTGCATCAGCTGCTCGCGAGAAGGCCTCGCTGCAGGCATCCTCGCCAACCTTGTACACCACAGTGTCCAGGACGAACTTGTTTGCACGAACAAGCTTCGTGACCTTTCAACAGCAGCTCAGGCGCTTGCTTCCAGACTTAACCAGCTGCTAAGTAAGAACTGGTGCTGCCAAGGCACGTTTTCCATGACTGCCATCATCTTCTTGGCATTGGCGGACAAGGAGTGCACCCATCTTGAGATGTTGAAGCCAACGATACGACCGCCCCATGCTGCAAGCAGAGGGGGGGAAATCTCAAGCGGCTGAGCAATACCATGACCATACACAACGATCTGGGCGTCCTTGTCACCGGATTGCAGGCAGTGAATCAGCTGCTCGCAAGAGTCTCGCGTCGCAATGCCGTCCAGGGCAAGCTTTGGGAGCATGCGCTGGTTCCGGTCCCTCCACCGCAGGAGCGCTACGGCATCAGGGAAGACCTCCTCGGCCCCCATTGTCACCAACAGTTCGCTGATGCGCTCATACTGAGCACGCACTGTGGCACTTGCGGCTGCACGGTTGTCAACCTCTGCCCAAGCTGCCTTGGATCCGTACTCGCCCTTCGCAAGGTTCTTGGGGGAACCGGGCAAAGAAAGCATACAAAGAGGCTTCAGCTTCAGCAGCTTGCACAGCTGGAGCAGAGCCGATCCTGAGGCAGAGAGATGAGCTGCGTTGATCAGCACAGAATCACCCGGCTTCAGTTTGGAGCCAAACTGCTCCAGCACGGTGTATGCACACACAATGGTTGGAGTCAGGCAGATCTGCTCAGGTGTCAGCTGCTCAAGAATCTCCGATGGGATACGCAGGAGATCATCTTCGCTGCATGTCAACAGAGTTCGCCCAGTTCCAATTGGATGTGCAGAGGAGAACTTTGTAGGCTTCGGGAGGACCAGAACCGCATCTTCTGGCTTGAGGTCCTCGACCCGTGTTCCGGCCTGCTCCACTCTCCCAACTCCCGTCATGCCAAGGCAGACACCAGTTTTCTTCAGGTCCGCATAGACCATGGAGTCATCAACTGGAACAGCAAGCATGCGCACGAGCACCTCGTCATGGTCAATAGTCTTCTTGAGAGGCCTGGGCTTCACCTGCACCTGAACTGCGCCTCCCATGGCCTGACCATAGGCATCTGTTTTGGGAGATCCGAGGACATGCTGCACAGGTCCTGGGTGATTGATCTTTGTCGCCAATTCGGATGCATTGAAGAGATGCGTCTTCATGAAATCTTTGTCTGTAAGAACCATGGCCTGCTGATCACGCTGGCGCAGCCACTCGGCAAAGCCTTCTTCATGTGTTTGATTTCCCGTAATAATCCTGTCCTTCAAGCTCACAATAGCCTTCTCGTCGGCCTCCTTGCTGCGAGGCTCGAAGTGATGCCTGCCCCCGGCGAAACCCTCCACAAACTCCTCCTCCGCTGACTTTTCAGCACGGCCGGTGGCATCATAACGCCGTCGCTTGTCCTGATCAGTCAACACGTTGTATGCTTTGTTCAGGAGCTGAAACTTCTTCGGGTCTCCGCCCTTGTCCGGGTGCTCGGCAAGTACCTTTGCGCGAAACTTGGACCTAATCTCATGCAGGGTGGCATCCCGGCCAACACCAATGAGCTGATAGTAGTCGGCTTCAGACATGGCAAGTCAAAAGGAGGCAATACAGGCCGCAACGGCTGGCTGAATCACTTGTGCCCTTGCCCTCGAGCCGGGGCACAGCAGCAAATTCAGATCTGGAGAAACCCTGAGGTCACGCAGAATGAATGGACGCCAATTAAGTGAGAGCGATTAAGTGCGCCAGCTTGGGGCAGTGAGACGTGCGCACCCCTGGCATTCCAACCAAATGCCTGCTGTGCCAAGACTTGGGCCTCAGCAGAGCGCTGTGTCTGGAACAGCTGTGGCTTCTGTGCTGAGGGCACGGCTGCTAGCCAAGGTCATGGGCAGTTTGGTCGCCTGCAGGGAGAGCCGCAGAATGACCAAGCTGCCCTGCTGCTTAAATTGGCAGGGCAGAAGTCCCCAAAGCTCAACTCAGGCAGTTACCTCTGCAGAGCCCCTCCATAATCTGTCCACAAGGTCCCCGGCAGCATCATGATGAACCTGAACCAGCAGTGTCAAAGCCACATACAGCTGGCCTTCCCGCCATCCTATCTTGCCTTGTAGGCCGTAGTATCAATTTCAAGCAGACACGGCGACATGGGTGTACCCAAGCCGGGCACATGTGCCTTTCTTAAGCTCAGCAACATTTCCTCGATTTGTCTGTGCTTTCTGTGCGCGTTTGTGGCATCTGCAGAACACCAACGCTGCCTTCACATTTCCGTTCGCTGACTGGTGCGAGCTTCTTGTTTCCAAGCATGACTTGAAGTTCAGCTGAGGCATTGACATGAAAGCAAGCTTCTTGTAGCTTTCAAAACCAGGTCAGCAGCTTTTTTCTGGAAGACCCTGCCACATCAATCCATCCAATTCTTTGGTGAAGCCGGTGAAGCTGAGATCTTCTGGACGCCATAGGCATGTCCCCCCAGCATAGCTGGCATAGCTTGCAACATCTCCCCCGCCGAATCTACGCATCACTTTTCTGCAAGGCCAGCTCCTGCAAAAACAAAAAAACACCAAGCAAAGGGCTCTGTTAGACACTGTTCGCCCTTTCCGTGACGCCTTCTCCATCTGCTTCAGCAGAGTTTCAACGTGACACACTTCCTGCAACCAGTACAACCCAAGTGATGGCGGGATGCGCGCAATTTTTGCACTAGTCTGAGCGCAGTCCACCCCTGCCTGTTCAGAACTGTTGGGAAGCGCCTGCGTGAACGAATCAACGCAAGGTGTCTGGCCCTCTGAACCCTGCGACGGACTGACAACGAACAATTTGCTGTATCATCAATCATCTCTTGCCAACACGGAAAACGCAGGAAGCTTCCAACTCTTCATTGCATAGTTTCAAGGCTGGCCGTTAAATGTTGGCTACAATTTCAATCTCAAGACAGTAGAGTTGGGACTCTCAGGCAATCTGCGGCCATGCATCAAGCTGATGATGTCAAGCCTGACTTCAAAACAATTCCCACCTGCATTCAAGAAATGTAATTCAAGCTGGCAGGCTTCAACCTGGCACAACCTTCAAAGACCAGGAGCAGCTAGACTTTACCATCCACGTTCCACAAACCCAAAGGAAACAAACTCCTTTGACTAACCCATCTGTTCATGTCATGCTGGAAAAAGCCACAGCTCTAAATGCACAGCCTGCGGTTCAGGTGGGTGTCATGTCCAAGCAACCATCCCGATGCCTTCTGTTCTGCGCCTTTCTTCTGCTGTAGGTCAGCAATCAGTTCCAAGAATGCAGCCTCTTTTTCTTCCAAATCCAATTTCATGTCCTGCAATTCTATGCCAGTCTGGGAACTGTGGCAAGCTAAGGCCCTTGGAGGGCGCTTATGCAGCACCTGGAGCATCCGTCCTGCAGGCGGGTCCTTTCTTCGGGGCTGCAATTGTCTTTGTGCTCCAACCGAGCCTTGATCTGCCTCAGCAGCTCAGCAGCATCTGTCAGCTCATGTGCACGGGAACCCTCTCTGGGGCTCTGGCCTCTGGTTCTTTTGCGAGGCATTCTTGAGCCCGACGACCGTCTGCAGCGCCCGCTCGAGCTGCAGCTCATTCATGCCCTCAATTTCCTGATTTCGGCACGCTGCGCATCAAGTAGATTTCAAAGCACAACTTGTCCTTCTTGACGGCTTCCATAACCTGCACGGGTGCAGCACTACGGAGGCACCCGGCATCTACGATACAGCTGAAAATGTAGGAGCAGCGAATTATTTTGCAAAGGCCTCGTTCACGTTAAAGCGTGCCTCCGGCATCGGCCTCGGCAATGATTCGGCAGACAGAGAGCTACAGCTCTCGGGACTTCTTTCCAGCCACACCAAGGACACACCTCAGGCATGTGCTGGCGGGAGGGCGGCATCCAATCCATCAAGCACTCGACTGCCTGGCTCCAGAAGCAATACAAGTTGGGCAGGTGCCTCTCCTCTCCAAACATGTTGCCTTCACATCCTTCTCATCACAAGCTGCCATATAGTGGACAGAAGAAGCCGCCATGGCCTCCGTCATAAGCCATGACCGACGCAACATGATTGTAGACTTTACCTTGCCTGGGCAAAGGCCGACGCTGGCCCAGGAGCCGTGGGCTTCCCGCGCTTGGAGATAGTGGTAATGGCACATGTCCTGCAGCTTCACTGACAGCAGAGAACAAAACCACTGCCAAGTGCCAAGGAGTCCTATCACTTACAGCGATCTCCGTGGCCATCACCATGCCCTGGAAGTCACGAAGCCGCCATGGTTCCAAAAGGGAGCCCAAACACGCAAAGCCCGAAAGAGAGAAAAGAAAATGCCATGCGCACGAATGCAGGCCTGCACGCCCGGACAATGCAAGTGCAGACTACCCTGACAATGCCCTCGGAACTTCAAGTCAAGAAGACTCAAGGCAAGAGGACCATGTCACTCGGTCTGCCTTTCCGCTGTGCCCACCGAAGACGAAGAGGTGCGGCTTTGTGGACGCTGGCATCTGGCCTGCCAACTTTCCAAAGCTCAGCATACCAGAGTAACTTGCAAACGATGCAAAATCAGTAAGTCGCAGTGCATGCTGCGCAAGACTACCGAAGCCTGTCAGGATACTGTCAAGAGCACATTCCAACCTGTGAGCCCGCATTTGCTCGTCTCAGTAGAGATCATGTTGCCTGCCACGAAGCTTTCCAACGGCGATGATTGGAACGCAAGAGCACAAGCCATCCAGAATGAATTGCAGGCCTTCGAGCGTGGAGTATGCTTAATAGCAGATATGGCTCAAAGCTCTCTCAACCGAAACCTTTAGCTCACGAAATGAAACTAAAACAACAAGATGCTTGAAATCCTTAATGTGCCGTGTAGCTCACGCCTGCAGGCTGAGCCTAGATGTTATGCTGATAGCGTCCAACTCAACACGCAGCTTAACATGGCCGCTGTGCGATACCTGCTCACGTCCTTGAAGCAGCGCAACATTCCAGGCACCCTTTTGGTTGCGCAGCAGCTGAAGCGCGCGCTTCCGTCACGTCAACTGTGCCCAGCATCAGTCCAAGCCAAGCACTTGGACGGACGAATATTCAGCGCTCCTTGAGACTTGGCTCGTGAGCCAGGTGGTACTGTACATCACGTCTCACATTGCCTAGGCTTGGACTCAGGTTTCTCTGCATCTGTTGACCGCAATCACTGGATAGCTCCTGGCACACAGGCGCTGTTGTGCCCTTGGTCAGCAACTCTGGGAAGCTCTACCAGAATTTGCCCTGGTGCTCTCACCTTCTGCTGCAGTGTTCAAAGTGAAGCTGCCATGGCGTCGCTGCCACGTGCGATAGTACCTGTCACGAACGACCGGCCATCTAAGCCACTCAGCCATTCAGCCGTTCAACTTTAATCCACTCAAGTGTGCACACCCGAGAGTGCAGACGGGTCACTGCATGCACAGCTCCCAGTTTATCCTCAGAATTGGAGTTGTGCTCAAAGAGGACATGCATGGCGACGCAACTTTTGCGGCCGGGGCTCTTCAGGCACAGGCCGAACATCAGGCACATCCACGCCACAGAGCTGCCTGACGCCAGGAGGCTTCATGTAAGATTTTGTCATGCATGCTGTGTTGGATGCTGCTGCAACCACAACTAGATGGTCGCATGGCTCGGAACCATTGGTTCCTTAATCAGAGAGGATCATTGAGGGGGTGCAACCGTGTGTTTACCTAATGCAAGGCTGCCAGGCGTTCTATGAACAACCTTTGCCGCCACCAGGACACTGAGGCCTGTGTCTGTGCACTTCACTGCTTGCAGGCGCAATTAGGAGCAACGAGCTTTGGCTTCTCTGAGCGACACAAGCCTGCAACAATGAATGTGGACTGGTTGGCATCGCCAATTCCTGCCAATGCAAATCTTTTTGTCAGCATTCAAGACTGCACACTTTGGCCCGCCTGCGGGGAACACGCAAATGTTGCTCAAATAGCCTTACAGGCACAAGACATGCAGAAGCCAGACCTTCTGAAACCCATTTGTAGATGCTGTCCAGGCTGCACGCCAGCAAGGTGGCCTCATTAGCTTCCAGTCAACACCAGGATCATGAGAACACAACACCACAATGCTGTCATGGCCTGAACGACGAAGCCCCACGCCACGCCACGCTTCCAGCGGAAGCGCTTCAGTGCAAAGAGCTCTGCGAGACCCAGGATGAGCGCTATGCTGTGTGTCCTGGTGTTGAATTTTTGACTAAATGAAGAGGGTCCCACCAAAGTGTGAACACTTCTCACGTCCAGTCCCCCAAAGAATCAGCAGGGGTAAATTGGACTGCAGCGTGAGGGCCATTGGAATCACCTCAGCAAAGCCACAATGCACTGGAAGCTAGCTGGATGTTTTGGCTTGTTGCGTCTTGGCACTGCGATGGCTAGAATCAAGTGTGGTCCAGGACCAAGAGGGTGAAGCACAAGATGCGGATACTTCCTCCACACCCATGCTTCCCTTGACAATTAGCTCTGAGCAAGGGGTCCTGATGAGCAAGATGAGACCCCAAAGAAGGATGGCCGGGGACCTTGGGCCAGGAAACAAATGCGACTCGGCATCCCAGGCCTACCGCTGCAGCGAGATGCTGCTCCTCCAAGCAAGCCACAAGATGATGCAAAGCAGGATGCGCCCAAATCGCCCAAAGCAGTCAGCTGAGGGCTGCCTGTAATCAGGGCTGTGGCTGTGTGCAAGAACGACATGAATTACAACATGCTGTTAACATCGTAGCAATTAAAGCATGTTCTTGAAAAAATTGCAATGTGCGGAAGAAAGATGAAAGCCTCGGCCCATGCCGCTTGGACCCAGCCAAAACAATCACTATGCAGCAACAGCTGCAGTTGGATCATAAAATACCCTGCTTCTAGATTGCGTGAGAAATTGTGTCCGGAAACTGCGGCCAAATGCGAAACACATCCGACCGAAATCAGATTAAACGCCCGCTCATCACAGCCTGCAGGCAAGCTTGATCAACAGCAGCCCAGCAGCAACACCGAATGGAACAAAGTATGGCCAGGTCATGAAGCCAGAGATGCACCAAAATGCCATTACCTCAGAAGATTGAGATACATGCGGCGACCCTGCCTTTCACGCTCGCAAGGATTTACGGAAGGTAAAACAGGTACAAAACAAAAGAAAATGCCGCATAGCTGTTATGATGGTTCTAGTTTTGAAACGATATAGCCACGCTTGCCCTTGGGAGCTATGAGTTTACTGGTGTGATGCAAAGAGGCAGTGACAGTGGCAGAGGCTTCTGCAATGTGCAGGGCCAGGAGCTTTGGGTCCGCAATGAACAACTTGAGTAAAACTCTGCTTGTCGGAGGCAGGCGATAGGGAGGCAGCGAGACCAATAACACCAAGAATCGATATAGCGCCAGCGCTGAGAAAGCAGATATGCCCAGGATACGCACAGGAAGCGATAAATGCAAGCTGCTGCTGTTCAGGGCACTCACCTCAGGTTAGGAAAAAGCTTCCTAGCTCACAATTCCAGCGGTGCGGCATGCACACAGCAACAGCACGGGGCTAGCTCTGCTGATCCATTTTGACACATCTATCCCATCCCTCAGCCCCATCGGAGCACGGCCTCTCAACTCTTTGCAGATTCAATTGCCTCGTTTTCTTTGCAGTAGCAAAATTTTCGAGCAGCTGATGGATGCCGTCTGCAACCCGGAGACTGGCATCTTCCCTCTGCACAATGGCGGCTCTGTCTAATGGGCAGCAGCAATGTGGCCGTGGCTGCCCTGACTTCCCGCCCCTCGATGTTGGCAAAGAGATGTCAGGAGTGTTTTGGTAGGTTCTGCGAGAAAAAACAAGCTCAAGATTCGTTCTGGCGGTGTATGCTGGCAGAATGATCTGCATGTTTGGCGTCTCCATTTTTCCCGAGATTTCAACCTTTGCACGCGAAGATTTCTAGTTGAATTCTTTAAACCCACACTTACGCATCATCAAAATGGTTAAGCTCCGCTTTTTGTTTGTGATGGAAAAATTGTGGAAGAGTAAAAGACGTTTGCAAGCAAAGCTCAAGTTGCGTATGACTCTTGAAGCGGCTTTCCCCAGATTCGAGTCTCAGGCTAAGCTCAAACCAGCCCCATGACAACAACACAACCTAGGCAGATCTGCTAGCTAGCAAACTATGTACAACCAGGCCGGCGGAAAAAACTGCATGTGGTAGACAAACCCCGGCCCAGTGGCCTCCACTGACACCACCGCGGGTCTCTAACACCAACCGCCGGAACAAAGACACGAATCAGCAGAAAACCCGAACAAGGCGAGCCCAGAATCCAATTGAACAGCACCCCCAAACCCCGAACCCGGACCGGTGGTGGCGTGGCAGAGGCCCACGAAGGCGAAACAGCGTCAAAGCTAGCTAGCTGCCACGAAACCGCTTTGCCGTGCATCAGATTTTGTAACTCATGCCTGGTAGGTCATGAGCAAAAGAACCAGGAGGAGCGTTCTGATGCACTGCATACCGAAGTCACGGCACTTGTGTCGCACAAAGTCCCGTACACCCGGTATCCTCTCAGAGCCATGATATGGCTGGTGACACACAGAGCATTGCGGTGGCGAATCGTTGGTCGCAGTCCGTCGATGGTGTCGGATCCATTCCTCTACACAGCTAGCATGAACGCCGCTCATAGAGCCACGGCACAGGCATGGCTGAATTAATGGCTCGGAGGTTGTGTCGCGACAGATCCAACACTCAGTCGGCTCCTCAGAAACTGCAGCCTCCAAGTCCGGTACAGCATCAGCAGGCAACTCATGTATCAGATCTCTGGTGTCAACTTCGTTTAAGTCCGCACCAGGCTCCTCACCTGCCTCCTGGACAAGGACGCTGGTATTTTTGAACTCGGGAAAGAGTGCCACGAAAGTTTCTGAGGCAGCATTCGCTTCCCAGGAGGACATTGCAAGATCGCGACGGTGCTCGTCTGGTGCCTGCACCGAACCATAGCCTTTCTCGTTGGAGATGAAGAAAGACAAGAGACCCACAAGAATGGTCTCAATGGACCATGCTGGGTTCCAGCTCTCTGGATGAAAGTCTGTCATGCTGAGGCAAAGCCGCTTGCCAGTCTCCAATCTGCCACTCGGTGTGATCATCACAATCGCTGGAGGGGCATGCGGGTAGCTGCTAGGAAAAAGGATCTTGCCATGGTAGCAGCCTTTGCTGTATGGAGTGTCATCTGGCAGCGAATGAAGAACAAAGTGCCATTCCAGAAGGCTTTCCTCTCAATGAAATGCAGTCACTTCGCATCCCCCAAGCATGCCGCATCATAACCAGCAGAGCTGGTCATGTTACAAAAATACACGAAAGGTGACTTGGAATTAGAGTACCGTACCTCCCAGTCGTGTCTTCCATGAATAATAACCCTGTCCAACAATTGCTAAATATCCAAGACCTGCCAGGTTTCTTCGCCATGACCCATCTTGAAAGGAAAACGTGTTGGAGGGTTACGTATGTCCAACAACCGGCAAAGCTACCACTTTCACAACAACATGTTGCTGGAATTAGTTCTTCATGTTCGGGAGCCGGGCCATGTTACAAGAGTAAGTTATAGAACGAGACAAAGTCCGCAAGTAAATCAGGCGTCCTCTGATGGCCGCACTAGTATTTGGGGATTGCCCGAGACTTGTAAGGACTCCAGGTCTCGTCGCAGTCGCCTGGCAAGGGAGGAAAACCAACAATTTCAGTCACACATCGTTCTTGCTTCATGCCTGACCGCTGCACTTGAAGCAGGTGCTGAAGCGGTGCTGGGCGGCTCTGCTTGTTGCATGACAGGGCACGCTACTGGGGCTTTCCTTTTTGCATGGCTGATCCCTGCACTAGTCTGATGAACTGGCTACTTCTGCAGTACCAGTAACAAAGTAAGTAACTGGTTGAGGCTAATCTGATTCTTTGCTTTCGTAGGAAGCCAAAACATTTTGAGCTTCAAGTTGTAGCAACTCAGCATACAAAGCTGCAACAAAAACCTCCGACCATCAGCAGGATCACTTCCATTTTTTTGCGAAGCAGGGAGCACTTTGTCACTGCGTGCAATAGGAGAGATGCAGTAGAGTCAGAGAAATCTGCCCAACGCCTGTGGCAAGACGCAATCACAAAGAATGAAACAAATGCAGCAGCCACGCTGCCTTTTGCGAAGGCCTTCTGAGGGAGATGGCCTGACAAAGCGAACCAAGCACTGGAATATAATGAAACGAAGACGCGTGCTACCCTCGGACTGGGCATGCTGCATACTGTGGTGGCAACGCACAGGATGCAGGCGCCACCTGAGCTCTGGGACGTCAAGTTGCAAGATGTGCCTTTAGCAGCTAAAGCAGCTAAGCCTCAGCTAGCAAGCTGAGGCCGCCACAACCGGCGGCATCGGTGGCAGTGCACCCCAGGGACCGGGACCGGCCCCTGACACAGGCACAGGCGGCAGGGCTCCCATGCCCAGGCCTCGACCAAAATTATGAGCAATGAGCTTCTCTATCAAAATGAATCTTTTGCAAACTTGTCTCGCCTGGGCCTACAGGAGGCAGCGCGCTGCCGCTCATGAATGGGGGTGCCTCATCTCATCCACTGCAGGGAATCTCACCCTGCGCGGCATGCATTTTGAGTGCCAGACTGGAGGACTTGATGGCCCCTGCACATCAAAATCACATGTTGGAGACTCTGGGCTAGCTGCTCCGTGCCTGCAGATGCGACAAACTAAGCAGCCTAATGCTCTCATGGCAGGCCAAAAACTGTACTGGAAAACTGCCCTGCCCTGCATAAGCAAACACAGATGAGAAAGCATATCAGGTAGTCCAAACACGGAAATCAACACCTTTCCTTGAACCTGAGATGTCCTCCGAGGTCACGGAACTAAGGTACAACGCAGGATTGCCCGCCTTCGACAAGCGATCTGCAGCCAGCTTTAGCCTGAAGCTTGCAGCGTCCACATGCTCTGAATAGGTGAAGGCTTGCCTGGTTGTCACAACATCGCCCAAAGCCTTTCTGCAGCTGTGCTACTTTCACCCGAAGAAACTTCAGCATGACCCTCTGTTTTTGGGCCTTCCACATCGCAGCTTCAGCCTCTGGGCCTGTGTCAGCTCTCAACAACATGTCTGCACAGTCCAAGCACCCATACTTTAGTTGGGGAGAATTCTTTTCTTAGGCGGCTATACTGATTCACTCCAGGCAACGTTCCAGATGCCTAGAATGAGTCTTCGCACCAGAAGGCCAAGAACTATGTAGCTGGTGACCGAAAAAGTCAAACAAAGGCCTGAAGCATTTGACATTTGAGCCGGTCTGGACTTTTTCAGATGTGCAGAAGATACTTCGGAACGTGTCTTCTGCTTCACGACCGGCATGCACGGCATGATGTGCTTTAACTCAGACACAGCCCGAACACAGTTCAAGAAACCAGCTTTCATTCGCGTTGATTTCTTAAAAAGGTGTCGTGTACATGTGGTGTGCCTTGCAAGCTTCTGAATGCATAGAGTAAATTCAAGGCTGTCCTTGCGCCCCCAACTGTATCCCTGACTCTTGAATTGTGAATTCTTTCGGGTTTTGCAAGCAACTGCTGCTGCAGAAGGAATCTAGTCACTTGATGTACAGAACTCTGCAAGTGTTGGCCTGAATCGGCGGTGGGATCTGATGGCAGAGGCGCACCAGCTTCCTCCACAGCACCAGCACCTGAAATCGTTCAGGGCTTCCACCCCACCCGTCTACACCATGTTGAACGTTGAGGTTATACACTTAAGGCCGACACGCCCCACCGGGATAACCACCGGAAACGCTGGCCCGACTTCTCCCGTCAGGCTGGATGGCTCGCCCATCACTGAACTGCGCCAAAAAAACGAGGACTACTCTAGCGCACACAATCATACCCTGAAACATGGGGTTTAGAAATTCGGCAAGAGCCCCCCTTATATTGCTCAGTTCAACTCCAGCAGTAAGGAAGCACTTGCCGCCAGAATCATCTTGGTGAAGAAAACTGGTGCGCCTATCTGGCTGTGAGCACTAAGACTCCAAGAAATAACAAACTTGCTCGTTTTGGCGAAATGCATGTCACAAGTCGTATCTCCTGCGCATGATGGCGCATTTTCGCTATTACTAGAATTCCTCTTCCCGGTGTTCTAAAATCAGCTGTGTATCTGCACCTGCCCTTTGGGCAAGCGCACAACGACCATTTTGTCGTGCAGTCCATGCCTATCCACTTGCTGGCCGGACATCCAACCAACGCAAGCAAATTCACGCATGCAACCTTCACTCTCAAGCACTCTGGCGTTGGAAACTCAGGCAGACAACAGCAAACATTGACCTGTGGACAAGCACTCTGTCCATACTGCCTTACACTGGAAGGTTTGCATGCGAAAGAAAATGACCCAATTAGTCTGCACGCTGTCATTTTGCCAGCCAACTGTCTCCAGCTACCCTGCATGCGTAGGGCAATGCTGTTTGGCAACTGAATTACTTGACCATGTCCGAGTCTTCCTGCCACACAAACAAGAATCAACACATTGCGCATCACAACCATGCATAACACACTTTACCATATACACACAGAAAACGAAGCTATTCCGATGCACTTCTCAGACTTCACTGCCGAACCTCCTTGTCGGAACAGACAGCGTCTACAATGTTAAACAAGTCGAAGTCTTCCTCCGACCTGCGTCGGTCTAGGTCCAACATCTACAGGCGTGCACTCGGCTTGCTGGCCAAGTGGCCTCTCTGCTTCTTCATCCTGTGATTCATAGCCAGCCAAACCACGTGCGACCTCTGTCCATGACTTGACGGTGAACACCAGAACGCCTGCCAGCAAATGCAATCCGAGGCAGGTCACGGCAATCACCTACTCAAAATTGGCCAGCAAACAAGCCCTGCACTGGGGTTGTTCTCAAAATTATTGAGCCTTTCTGGCTATAGATCATATTACGGCACCTCATAGTCAAGGGTACTAAAAATGCCCCATCATTTTGGGAACTACCCACTTGGCACCATGGTGCAGCTTTCATTTCAGAACAGTCCATGCGCTCAGAAGGAAAGCCCGCTGCAAATCACAGTTCCGTGAAGAACGGATTGGACAGTCATGAAGCAAACATGTTGGAAAGACACAGGACAATCAGCGCATGCCTGCCAACACCTCAGCAAGTCAGGGGCCTTCCACCCTAGCCTTTCAGCCTCTCTCCCACTTCCCCGCACTGACTTGCTACCCACATGCCAACATCACCAGAACCTCTAAGCTTTGGGACAGTGCGTGCTGTACACTGGAGAAAAGCCAAAGCACCAGGATCATGCTCAGGACACGAAGAAGGTCCATCTTCACCGTGTGTCCTGTCCACCCCGCAGCATCAACCACCGCGCTGAAGCCAAGCTTCCCCACAAGCCTCGGCAATGGCTCGGCCGTACATACCCGAATCACTTGACACAAAAACTGATCTGCGGCAATGTTTTAGATGCAGCGAAGAAGCATAATTATATAGTTCACCTTGCTGCATGGAAGAAAGAACATGCTCAGACGGGATGACAGCTGACTCAGTGCCCAGCCGTGTAGCCCAAGAGACCGGGGAGTACTGCCAACGACCCATTGTATAGTGCACTCTGTGCAGAGGCCAGAAGCCACCTCGATGTCTTGGGCTGATCAGATGCTCTCCATTCCTCTATTGTTTAAGAACTTTTGCAATCCTGAATTTCGGGCTTGGGGTACGCAGCCAGACTCGCAAGCTTTCAAACGGGGGACTACAAGCAAAATCGAGTAGTAGAACACGTCTGGCCTGTATACTTCATGATGTCTCGATTCTTCTTCTGCATCCAAAGCAATTCCAGCACCCTTTGACATCTGGTGTCGCCATTTTCTCTGGACCGCACTCGCTTACAGTTCCACAGCTGCTGAGTACCACACCAGCTCCAGTCTGAAGCAAAAAGCTCAGGATGTATGCCTTTGCCGAAGTAAATCCACAACATCAGCGGAATCCGGCAAATAACCTTGGTAGTGGTATGTTGGAAACAAGTGGGAAAATCCAAAATTCAAGCTGCGCATCAGGAACAGACTACGACTACTCAAGCAGGGCTTAAGCAGTCTGTGGGCCACAACGATGGCACACACAACCGAGGCCCGGCTTGCCGAGCCCAGTTCCAGCGCAAGCTGCGAGTTGCACTTGGCCATCAGCGCATAGCCAATACCGCACGCGAAGGACACTATGACATACCTTGTCACAAACAGATTGACCATCAATCAAGTTTTAGAACAACAGCATGCCATTCAATGTAATCTGCAAAGCCTGAATCTCTGGCAACAAGAAGCAAACTGCACAATCTTCAAGACGGAGAGGCATGAAGGACTCAGCAGTGAATTCCCGTGTTGGCACGCCAGCTTTTGGGAAGAGGATGTCGCCACCATAGTTCCTCAGGCTGAGGGACATGATGCCAAGGCTTTCAAATGCTGTGACTGCATGCTGCCTCATGCAAAGACAGGGCACCAGGACAAGTACATTCACTCTCCGAAGGGGAAGAAAACGCTTTCCGAATCCTGTATCGGTTAAGCGGGCTGCTCCTTCACAAAACACCCACAATCGGAAGGATTCTTGCTGTCTGAACTTTGCTGAATACGACAACTTACCATTTGCTGAGTACCCTAAGGCACACAGGATTCCTGCACGGAACAGCTGGCATCACGGGAGGACGGTCACTTGTGCATGGGGATGCAGGCTCACAGCTCCTAGTGTGGCCGAAGGCTTGCCACCCGAACTATTCAGCTTGGAGATGTCTCCCATGCCAATGTCCAATCCCCATTGGCCACGTTTGAACAAGACCCCAACAATTTTCTGGCATCCGAGTAAGCCCCTGAAGCCACAAATTGCAGAGTTGAAAGCCAACAGAATAACACGATGAATGCACTTCCGACAGCGCCAAGTGATGAAGCAGCACCAAGTATCAAAAGGACTGCCGTCAGCACGATCATGAAACCTACTATGCGGCGATGCTCAGATCGGTGAAACTTGCCTGAGCATGGGGTGCAGAATTTCTCTCTTGGATCACTGCCAAGAAGAGTGCTAGCTGCCAGCTGTATCACATCATCCTTCGCTGTCAATTCCTGCTGAAGCCAAGGGGCCACTGGCACAGTCAAAAGCCATGCCTCCAGCTAGCATGCCTGACAGCATTGCCAAGAGGACGATCTGCACGCCCAAATGCCGGAACGCTGGCAATGTCACAAACTCCGCGACAATCATGACCTCACATAATTCAATCTCAGAATCCCTGTCCAGCACATCATGTGGAAGAATCCATGGCTATAACCATTCTGGAAAACAAAACAACTGCTCGACTGACTTATCATCAAGCAGCACCGCCAAGCAGTGAGTATTTTTTCTGAGGCCTTCCCCAAGGCTCCTGCACAAAACAACACAGTAGTCACATGCAAGCCTTGAACATCACGTGAGTATGAGCACATGTTTTGTACCAGACCTTATTTAGAAGCGCTGACGGGAGAAGCATCAAGCCACCAATTGCAATCGCGATGGTAGCGATATAGATCGCATGGTATTCTGACCTTCCTGGCCAGCAGATAAGCTCAGATCAAGCCTAATGCGTATCCAATTGATTTGACTCCGAATGCAAACACAACGAAAAGCGGGCGGCCTGGTTGTACATGTCCATTCCTGCACCAGAGGAGAAATTGGACTTTTTTTTTTCGATGCACGCAAGCTTACACTACGCCACAACCCGAAAGCCAACAAGGAAACAACTTTTTACCTGCAACCCAGGATTCAAACGCAGGGAAAAAAACTCCACATGCCGCCACAGAAGCACCAACTGCCACTGACCACAAGTATAGCAGCACCAGCTGCCAACGAGAATGCGAAGGGTCCAGACCGAGCGTTTGTTTCTCGGCCCCCATTGTTGTAAAGGAATTGAACAATCTGCGCGGCAAATTTGCAAGGACATAAACTGCATATGCACGGTTCTTAATAATTCTGGCGTTCACATGCTGTGACTACGCGAAAAACTGCGGCAATTGTCATGGCATCTGGCTGCTGCAAGTGGTTTGTCCCACCCTGATTTACCTCAACCAATTCCACAGCAAAAGTCAAAGTTCGTTTGCCGTGTTTTTGTTGGTACGGAATTGCAAGTGCATCATGGAAAACAAACGATGGAAGTGACAAATGATGGGCACGGCACGCCTTGTTTTTGCTGGACATTGTCAGCCAACTGATGCCAACAAAACATGTCTCGTCGCCGGTACTGATTTACCCTGAGACCTTTGCCCTGTGCATGTTTCTTTGCTGCCAACAAAGAACAAAGCATGTATTCCATCGCCAATAAAAGGATATCCAAATTCAAATGTTGGGTTCCAATCTTCCAGATTCAATATTTTAACCAGTTCATCAATCACCTGAAGTGATATGTCAAAGCTCGTCACAAAATGTTTCACACAGATTCAGAACTCCCACACTACTGCACGGAGAGCGCCCGGCTGTTTTTTTCAGGATAACGGTACAAATGCATTGGGGAAGTCAGATTTGTGATTGAACATGAAGCCCATGTACAACGGCGATCTCACCCCTGGGTGGCTGGGCGGCGGTGGGCGGGTACATTTTGAAACACGCACGAAGGAAGCATGCTTAAATTCATGGGGAAGCCTTTCACCCGGCCAGCCAAAAAGTTCATGCAAAAATAGCATGTCATGTCAATCAAGCGTCAGACATGATCATGAAAACAAGGAAACATGCTGCCGTGAAATTTCTATCATAATTTCACATTGCAAATAGAATCATATCAATCAGAATGAAAAAGAATTGTATTTGCCGCAAACAAAGAACAGAGCATTTATTCCATC